CCAAAAAGTAACACTACAGGACCACTATTACACATGTGAGAGATCACCGTTTATTTATATATTAGAGAGGGAAAGAAAGTCGCAAACTGATAAATTTACTTACATTATAAATTGTACACACATTTTTTCCACTTTCCACATTTTAAATAAATAAATATTTGTTTCTATATTTCGACATAATTTTAAATAATTTATTTTGACATCAGAAATTACAACTAATGTCAGTGAACGCTAATTTATACAAAAAAAATGATGACTATATAGGAACCATAGATTTCAGATTCTCTAGATTGCTAATCAAACAACTAGAGTAATTAGGGGCTTCTGAGGTCACAAAACAGCCTTCAGAAGCATACCACAGATTATCCCTTGGTTCTGTGAAGCTGTCGTTTAAGCGATACGATATAAACAAATATGGCGGAGCGATGAGAACGTAGCTCCGAAGAACCCTTAAAGGTACGAAATAGAGTGAGTCATTTCCATTATTTCTACGAGGAACGACCAGTCAATAATTATTGCTGGCCTTCAAAAGTCAGAAGCCCTCAAAGTACACCATGTTGTTGGTGAAATATAGAGAAATAGAGAAAACGAACAGCTACCAGATGATGGTGCATATGCAGCCATACCCTTTGTTTTTTGTTTTCCTGAATTTGAATGCTTTGTACAGGATTGTGCGGCGAAATTTTCGCATTTTTTTCAGTTTTCTGCCTATAACTCGAAAACTATCCATTTTTTTGGAAATACCACCCTATTAAAAGATGAAGTATATAAAATTTACTATATATAATGGGGTTGTGAACACTAGGTAGTGGAATTTACGCCATATGCCTATTTTATATTGAACATTCCGTGTATGAATAGTATTTGATGCAATCATTCATTAGAAGGACCACATATTTGGACGCTACCAGATTTGTAACTACACCTTTTCCAATTTTAGTTCAAAAAGCGCCAAGTTGATTTAAAAAAGTATCAATTATATCTCAAATCAGTCATTTTAATTTCAAAATTATCAAATGTATTTCAGAATAATTATCAATTTAATTTCAAAATGCCTCATTTGTATTTCAAATTAGTCATTTTGATTTCAAAAAGTGTCAAATGTATTTCAAAATCATCAATTCGATTCGAAAATGCGTCAATTGTATTTTAAATTAGTCATTTTAATTTAAAAAAAATTCTATTTCAATGTCAAAATCTATCATTTCAATTTCAAAACTGTTCATTTTTATTGATGATGCCACAATGACAGGAACCAGAAGCCAGAAGCGTTCCAATAACAGGGCGAATGAAAATATCACCTAACACCCATCTAACCTTTGCCTGTGATTCTTCAGTTTTGAAATTCAAATGATGCATTATGAAATACATTTTATATTTTTTTTAAATGCAAATGACTATTTTGGAATTTGAAGTGTTTGTTTTTAAATCAATTTGATAATTTTGAAACACAATTGATGTCATTTGAAATTAAAATGACTAATTTGAAATACAATTGTCGCATTTTGAAATTGAATTGATAATTTTGAAATAAATTTGATACTTTTCAAAATCAAGTTGACTAATTTACAATACTACTATATATGCAGATGATACTGTACTTTTATACGAAAACAAAAACCCCATCATTCTAGAAAATATTATTAACGAAGATTTGAAAAAATTTGAAAAATGGCTTTATTCAAACATTTTATCAATTAATACCAATAAAACTGAATATATAATATTCCATCAAAAAATAAACAGAATATTAGTCTCAATCTCCAAATTAAAAATAAAGTATTGAAAAGAACTACACAAATAAAGTATCTTGGTATGTGGATTGATGAAAAATTGAAATGGGACAAGCATATAGAGGTTCTGATACAAAAAATATCTCCGATCATTGGAGCTTTGCGAAGATGTCCTAAACTTGACAAAAAAGTCATAAACATAGTACTTCATTCTCATATACTCAGTCGTATTACCTATATGATAAACGTTTGGGGATCTTGTTCAAAAAATTATTTCAGTAAAATATCTGCACTTTATAAGAAAGCACTGAAAGTATTGTAACGCCTCTCATTTGATATACCAAAAAATGATCTGTATGCCATAACAGAAAAATTTTCATTGGATGAATTATATAAAATAGATTCTCTTAAAGTTTCATATAATATGATAAACAATAATCTGAAATCCAATTTTATTTTGATAAGAAACTCAGAAATTCATGGTCATCACACAAGACAATCAAACTTATTTCATCTTGATTCTGCTACTTCTATAATTGGCCAAAAAAAATTTACTCACGCTGCTCTAGCTGAATTTAATAAATTACCACATAATATAAAAAATTGCAGACATATTTCAAAATTTGAAATTGAATTAAAAAAACACATGATTTCATTATGAAATGGATAAAATTTATACTTTGCCATCTACTGATTAGTACCAGTGGCTATTTTTATGACTTGATCGATTTAGCATTTTCAGATTTTGTTAGATTTTTTTGTTGTTGTTGTCACCTTACATTATTTTATTATTGTTGTTTGTAATCAACTTCCTCATACCAGAATTTTATTTCTGACTGGAAGCTAGTTTTTCAATTAACAATAAATGATGCTTTCTGAAATCCAAATGAAAATTTGGAAGTACAATTGACCATTTTTGAACTAAAATTGGATGAGGTGTAGTAATTACCATATTAGATTCAATATGACCAATGACAAAAATAAGTAGGTAACAAACGAAATTTTCAAGAAAAGAACATCCTATGATGAGAGCTTAATTACCGTATTCGCGACTTCCAAGATTCTCTTGGCATGATGGGAACAATACGGTCATTTCGTGACTTTGTATAGGGTCCCACAGTGAACCGCCGTACACAGTGAACCATTTTTATTTTTACATCTACCACTATTCAGAGAAAAGCGCTGATGTACGTGGTACGATCTATTACATCAGTTTATCCATTTGCCGATGTTAGGTATCGTCTGTTTGAAAATGTCAATTTCAGCATTGAAGAATGCAAAAACTGTTTAAATTGGTCTCAGGTTTATTCTTTTGCAATAATGTATTCTTCATATTAGTTGAAATTCAACAGTGAACCAGTACACAGTGAACCATCTGATTCAATGTGTATTGACTGGTTCACTGCATTATTCTTCCATTCGTTTTACTAATTTTTGTTAAGACTGTTACTTTTTTCTACGAGTAGGAATTCCTATGAGTAAAAAAACCCTCTACGCATGTGTTACATACAATAGATTTGCTACAACTGTCAAATAAGAGGACAAACTCATTCAACTTATGATGTAAATGATTAAATGATATTGCATTCATGTCACATTATTGATAAAATCTGGTTACTAAGAACGGAATACGAAGTCAGTCGCCTTGATTTGTTTGCTTGCTGCCTTGCTGAATCCCGTAAAGGAGCCCACAGACTGAGTTGTTAGTGGGCTGTTTTGTTCGTCAAACAAGTATGTTCAAACGAAAATGACGCAAAACCGAAGTGTGTGGTGAGTGGCCGGCGAAAACGACGACTTTTTCGTCGAACAAACCATCCTACCAACAACACAGTGTATGGGACCCTTTCAAGCAAGCATTTATTCCATCGCAAGCAACAACCGTGTGCTTTTTTCACACTTTTTCGTAAAATAATGTGACTTTGGTATCGAAAAATTGTACACTTCAAGCACACACAATATATTAAGCAATTGCATTTTTTACAGTTGTAGGAAATATATTTTTTTATGTATTCACCTTGATTTTTTACTGGTTCACTGTGAATTCATCAACTGATTCACTGTTTCCATAAGACGGTACACAGTGAACCAATTGACGTTTTTTTTTGAAAGAAATATTCACATTGTTGATTTTTAGGATAACTGTGGCTGGGATTCTGTCGCCGACACTCCAAAGTAATTAGAAAAATACACGTGGTTCACTGTGGGACTGAAAATAGTTATTTTCTGCAACCGACACAAAAGTCGTCCATTTAGATACCAAAATCAGCTCTTGAATTGACGTTTCTATTACTGACACAAAAATAGGTATGTTGCCAGGCAACACATTTAGTTCCTAAGAGTTAAAGTTGAACTTTAGTTCTCAGGAGCTACAGTTGAACTTCAGCTCCTAGGAACTAAAAAGGATGTACTAGAGGTCATCAAGAATAGATAACATTGTTATGGGTTGGGACGCATACCTGATATGTTTCCAATTTCGACAGATTTGGCATTTCATACTAATGCTGGCGATATAAATACACCTTAGTATAGTCTTTGAGTATTCACACTAGTGTATATACCTAAATAATCAAGGTTATAGTTGAGTATTTTTGTTTTGATCAGGAAAGCCTCCAAGATTCACATACTTGCTGATATGTATTTCATTCATTATTCTCGGGATGGATAACATGTTTTTGAATAATCACGTCCAGCAATAGTTTTTTTGTCTCAAACAACGATATTGTTTACCTACACTTGATTATCAAGCCAAACACAGTGGAGAGAAATAAATAATCGCTTTTATTATTGTTGATATGCTCACTAACCCAATATTTTTCACGTCTTGTTTCTATACCTGGCACTGGTGCGGTATTTGCCATTAGAGCACCTGGTTCCTGCATGAATATGTCACTGTGTAGTTGTATTCATATTGAAACTAACAATTCAAACATACTTGAAAACAAACCTACTGCTAATGCAGGTAGAGTATTCTCACCACACGGATTATTTGTTGCATTGTATACATATGGCCCAGTATTGTTTATTGTTACTTTTCATATTTATTTGAGGTAATTGTTTCGGTTGCAGAAAACATAGCATGTTTCATTCGGATCAAAAGTGACTTTGTTTGACTCGCAAATTTTGCTTTCGTTCGGCTTCGCTAAACGCTCCGCCACGCAAATGCAATATTCGCTTGTCGAACAAAGTGTGACTTTTGATCCTAATAAAACAATCTACTATTTTTAGCAGTAGGTAGAAAAAAAATAATTATAAATAAAGAGCACTCACTCAGATTCTGCTGTTGCAAGATATTCTGGAAGGAGTTGGGCGAGCCTGAACTCCTTTCCGGCGACTCCCCGCCATCACCCGCCCTTTCCGCTATAGGCAAAGCGGGGTCGTAGGGCTCCGAGGTGCTGTCCCTACTGTCCTCCTCCTGGAGGGCCTCTTCGCCCAGCCTCTCCATATCCACGATCTTCGCTCTTCCCGCCCTAACCCCCTTGGGCAACACTGAAAACCTTATAAAACGCTTTTTACCATGGACGACAATAGGTTTAGGGAGACCACCATATTCAACATCAAAAAGTACTTCGTTTATTAATACAGATTCCAAAGCATTTACAAATTTCAAAGTGTTCGTTTGACCGTCGAGCGAGAACCTTTGCACTCGAGCGTCTAGGAAAACGGGCACCACAATTTTAGCATCGATAAACAGATTGATTTTCCCTGCCACCACGTCACTTCTTCGCGTTTCCCCGATTTTCACGGGCGGGGGCGGGCCCTCCAGCTTGACCCTGGTTCGCGCCCCATCCAAGTTGATGCAGATGCCGGCGCTGCCGAAGAAGCACTCGTAGGGCGCACGGTCGATGAAGATTTCTCTGCTGGGCGCGCCTATGCGCACCAGGTGGGGACTGCCGTTCACCAGCACCTGCAGAACACAGAAAAACACTCAATATTAATAATAATAATAATATAATAATAATGTTTATTCATCATCATCAAATAAGTACAGGGGAAGAACCTTGTTGCTTCTAATATAATTGTGACTTTGTGGGAATAACATATAGGTAAGCTACATAGTTATGTGAATAAACAACAACTCCACTAAGGCATAGCCAGGGCGTGGATTGCAGACAAACACTACTAAACTCCATTGCCTACAGTTACATCGATAAAAAAGTAAATACATGAAACGAGGATAAATTACAACTGGTATCAATAATGACATTGGTGGTTTGAGGTAATGAATGATGAAATGAAAATTAAGTATTATATTAGGTTAAAAAAATGATACATGTGAGATGAGGTTAAAACTAAAAAACATTAAATATCAAGAAAAAGGTAGGTAGCTAGCCGAATATAGGATCGATCAATTTGTGAATGATAAATCTATCTATACTGAGTAGATGTGATTTGACTTTTTTTTTGAATGACAATATGGTATGTGCTTTCCTAAGTTCTAGTGGCAAGTAATAATAAAGTCTATTTGCTAGGTAGGCGTAAGTACGTTGGATTAGTGTCTTTGAAGAATATATTGTGGTGAGTGCTGCATTGGCTTTGGATCTTGTATTATGGGTGTGATCTACATAATTTAAGGATTTTCGATTTTTGAACTGTTCGTTTACAATTTTAGTAAAAAATAATTGTCTCATATCAAGCATTTTAGATTCTTCAAACAATAATTTCGATGCGTATTTGAATGGTTTGTAGAGAATTCTTAGGTATTTCTTCTGCAATACATCTAGTTTTTTTAAATGGGTGGATGCTACCCCACCCCATCCAAGAATTCCATGTGTTAATCGCGATTCAATGAGCGCATAATAAATAATTTTCATTTGAGTGGTGTCCAAAATATTTCTGAGATAGAGTACTCCGCAAGTTTTTGTTACTTGATCGATATGAAAATTCCACTGCAGATGTCTGTCAATAGTCACTCCTAAATATTTGACCTTTTCTGATGAACGGATAGTGATGTCATTGCCATTGTTGTCGATATTTAGCGATTCATAATGAGGCAAGGTATTAATGTAGCAGGAAAACGGTAAGTAGCTAGTTTTTTCATAATTGATTGACAGAGTCTTTTGATTGAAACAATCAAACAGCTTACTCATATCCTGTTCTGCTTTTATTTTAAGTTCATCCCAAGTATCAGCGTCATACAACACTGCTGTGTCATCAGCGAAGCAGATTAGCGTTCCAGATGTATTGAATGTGAGTATATTGTTCATATAAATAGTGAAAAGAATAGGCCCTAAGACGGTTCCTTGTGGAATTCCCAAATCGTTTTCCACTAATTATAGAGTCAATTTCGACATACTGTTCCCTTTCACTTAGGTAACTTTTCATCAAATTGAGAATATTTCCCCGAAAGCCAAGGTCTTGCAAGGCCTCCAACAGTTGTGAGTGGTTCACAGTGTCGAAGGCCTTTGCAAGATCCAAGAATACACAAATCGATGGTTTACTCCTTTCTAAGTTTTCCGATATTTTTGTCGTGAGGAAACATATTGCATCTTGAGTAGATACCCCTTCTTTGAAATCAAATTGGTTTTTTGAAATGAGTTTATGTTTATCGAGGTAGGAAACTATTCTATTCTTTATTATTTTTTCCAATACTTTTGCTATACTCGAAATTAGTGTAATTGGCCTGTAATAAGAAGTTTCACTTTTGTCTCCTTTTTTATAGATTGGCTTGATGACTCCTACTTTCAGCTCATTGGGAAATTCTCCAGTTTCTATAACTTTATTAATTACAATATTTAGGGGAAAGGAAATTTCATTCTTAATCTGACTCAATGTTTCTGACTTGATACCATCAAGACCAGGTGCTTTTTTGTTCTTCAGAGATGTAATAATTTCTATTATTTCTGTTCCTGTTGTTGGCGAAAAAAATATTGATTGTGATAAGGAATTTCTCGAAAAGTGGTGGAATTTGAGGCTTTTGAATATTTTTTGCGTGATTTCGTCCAACAGACATGACAAGCACGTTTTTTCTGAAGAATGCGGGTGTGTTTCTTGCTAATACTAATAATACTTTATTAATCTATGGTAGAAGTCCGTGATATCTCAAAGTGGAGTGAATAAATGCATAAGCAAGACACACTGAGTCATCTCCACAAATTTATTATCTGAATTATCAGTGTCTGAACATGTTTCGGACTATCAATAGTCCATCCTCAGCAGGAGCGTTTTTTTAAGACAATTTGTGGAAGTGAGGCAGTGTATGAGGCAACAATAATATTATACAATATGAAATTACATTGTTACAATTAATGAAGGGCAAAGTTCCCATGGCCCAAAGGGCTTTATGGAGGGTACCAACACCAAGTAACCTTTGATGAACAAGCGAAAAATTTTCATGGAATTATCCCGACTGATTCTCGATATAGAGATAGTGTAAGCTCCTCGTGACATACCCTGTATACACTCAGTGGAGAAACACTCCACCAGTGGGAATTCTACATTTATTTATCGTTATCTAAAATTATTGTAATTGTAATTTTCGATTCGAATGGTGAATAAATATTATTATTATTACCAGTTCCTGCCAAAGGAATTCACTATTTGCGGTAGCCAAGGTCATCATCCGACGTTGCGACGACATAAAAACTACGGGAAAACATGTCTAACTTTCAATTTAAGTCAGGTATTAAGAATGTTTTCCAGTAGTTTTCATGTCATCGCAACGTCAGATGATGACCTAGGCTACCGCGAATAATTTGGGAGGACAGAATAGCATTAGTTATCTTCATTAAATAATGGTAATCACGGTACATAACTCTTAACAAATGATTTTCATTATACAAGGTGTTGGAGATAATAATACAAAATCATTCTCCGAGGCCCCCCTTTGAGGGGCTGTATCTTTCTTGGGGGGCACTTCAGAAGAAAAAAATGTTACCAAGGTTTTCGTAATTATTTCACTCACTCTATATACTCCCAAAGTTTGACCACCTATTTTAGAATCACCTTGTTATAACGACTTGTCATATGATGTCATGGTCATGACTAAGTATTGAAAATAAGTGCCTTCATAGTGACAATTATTAGGATTGGAAAAAATCATGATTTTAAAAAAAAATTAAAAAATCGTGATTTTTATTTGAAAAATCAAAAAAATCAAAGGAAAAGGTGATTTTTTCAGTTTTTTTTTATTTTGAATAATAATTGATATGTTTTGATCCATTTTAAGTAACTATGTATCTTTACATGCAAACGAAAACAATAACAAATAGCATTTTCCTGTTTTGACATATCTTGTATTGGTTTATTCTTGTCAGACCTTGAGCACAACGCCCTATCATTTTGTGGCTTATATTTTGGATACAACCATAACCAAATTTAAATTGACTAGTGCAGAAAAAAATTCACCATTAAATATCATACAAGAAATGTATGGAAATAGTGGATTCCTACCACTCATTATAAAACTTGAAGCCAAAACTGAACCATTTTCAACAGTTATGTTTTCAGAAGAGGTATTATCCAGTGTTAGTGCCTTACAGTGGTGGGTTTCACAAAAGAATATTCCTGAAGTTGCTAAACTTCTTCCTATTCTGAAACAATTTTTATGTGCTGTCTCCTCGTCAGCTTCCATAGAGTATTTTCTACATTTGGATTGGTTCACTCCAATTTACGAAATAAATTAGGAGTGGAGGAAGCGGGAAAATTAGTATTTTTGTACAAATACTATAATAAAAATGAAAATTAACATTGCATTTTTTTGAAAATATCATTTTTTTTTTTTCAATATTAAGAATATAGTTTTATTCCCAGTTTGTATCAGTTTAATTTGTAATTTGTATTTTGAGTATATTTTATAAAATAAATAAATGTTATTTCTGATTTCACATTTTTTATTTTATTCACTTGATTTAAATCATTGACTTCCCATGGACCTGGCCCCTCCTCGAGTCGAGTTCGAGGCCAGGGGGGAGACTGTAACAATAATACCCATTCTCCCATTCCTAACGCCGGCCCTGATGTACCACGTGATTATTCCTTGCAAATAGGGACGTTGTCATCCTGCGTGGACAACGGCGGAAAACAAAAAACCAGTAGGTGATAGACTCTTGAATTCCACCGGTCATCTCGTACCGCGTCGATGTACCGAATTGAAAATAAAATCGATTCATGCTTTTCTCAAGTTTTCTGTGAAACCCAAAATGAGTAACTATAAATTCCCTTTTATAATATTATATAATTAATGTATGATGAATGCTTCCCTCGTTTTCAAACACAGTAGATCTAGGGCAATCCGCAGAAATTTTGTCATCATCGTTTTCTGCTGAAAACGATGTTGGATCGGGGCAAAACGTGAACAATTTCGTCTCCCCTCTTTTTATATGTCTACGATTCGCGCATTATAATACAGGAGTAGAAAAATGAAGTTTTAACTATTATTATTAGTATGATTACCTCTTCGTAGGGGCGGTTGAAGCCCAGGACGATGGGCTCGTCGTCGTTGAAAGTGAGGCGACGGACGCCGTCGTCTTGGAAGGTGAGCTCGCGAGGATCGTCCCAGTTGACAAACACGATGCCCATCTCGCCGTAGAAGCGGATGTCTTTTTGGACGCCGTCGATTGCTGCGAAAAAAGGGAGAGTAAGTAAAAAATCGTTAAAAGTTATATCGTCTTCCATTTGATACACCAACCAATCAACGGCCGGGTGAACTAATAATGAATCATTGGAATTCAATTACTCCACTGTATCGTTAGGAACCTGAATTAATTTTTGCAACACTTCTCACGCTTTTTTATTTAAATAATGAGCCTATGTGTTGTCCGAAATTGTTGAAATTCAGAGCTCATTTCAAATGTAACGTCATGCCAATTTGCGAATCGTCGAATAAATGGTGACATCAGTTTTTATTCTGTTTCGTTATTGGTCACATAATCTTTCATTCCCACTCATGAAGCAAGGTTGCCAAGTCAAGTTATCAAAAAGTTGTTGGAGTCCTGTCGTTGAATAAAACATAATAGGAGGAACCCATATTATAGTTAATTCTTGACATTTTCAAGCAACCAGCATGTCCAAATATTCCTTATACTCGATAACAAAATATCATGTAAATGTTGAAGACTTGGCAACATCGTGCTGAATGCTGAGAACTGACAAGACCACGCCCACAATTCGTGCGCCGATGTTGTCACGTTTACCCGAGGGTTTACCGGTTCAAATGTCCTTTAGTGTGGATTAATATGATTATTATTTACACAAATGTTTCATAACCAATAAGCCACAACACATGAGGGAACATTTTGAGACAATTGATTTTTTAATGCTAATTCGGAATATTACGAATACATAATTGAGAATTTATGGATTATTGAATTAATAATATATCTGAAGTTCCCAATTGTATTTCAACATATGGCAACTGTGCTATGGTCTGCCCCTACCTACTAAATTGTGACATGTAAAATGTAAAATTGAAAGGTAGGTATTTGAGAGATGATTATATTTGAGAAATAAAAAAATCAGTCCACTCGCCTTTTGAAGGGCTTGATGTGAAACAATGACAAGGCTCAGAAAGTTGAAAATGCGATATTTGACTTTGAATGTTGAAAAAAAATATATAAAATCCAGTAACAACTGCCAGGGTTTTAGTCATATAGGTCGATGCGTTATACCCTGTGGGACTATAGTTAACAAGAATATCACAACTTGACAAAAAACCTTAGTTTTCTAGACATAACAAAATTAATTTGGGTGCTTCTCCATACTTGTTTATAATGTCAGGATTACCAATCATATTTTGCAAATTTCTACCTCATTTGTGTTGATTTATTGAGAACAATATCCATGTTCACTATTTGGCAACCACATCATCATATGATCTGGGAGCTGGATGATTCCAAATTTCATTCTTTTTTCCAGCAAAATACTTTTTTTAGAGAAAAATAATATTTGAAGACCAAGTTGGAAACTCCCGATGACGGAACCAATATGGCGGACGAATATTGTAATTGATTCAACTCTCTTCAAAATTATTGATATCTGGATGTTTTCGGGGTCGGAGATTATGATTATTTTGTCAAAATTTGGAAAGGACGGGATTTGGGAATTAAGACGTTGGAACCAATATACCGGACGAGTTTTGTAATTATATACCGATTCTATTCAAAATTTGTGGGCGTTTTCGGGATCAAAAATTATGATTCCTTCATCAAAATTAGGGAATTCAAGATGATAGATTCAATATTGCGTACGAATTTTGTAATTATGTTCCAATTATTACTTATCTTTATTATTATTCCCAAGAAACATACATGTTTATAGCAGGGAAAATTATGAAAGAGCAACTAAAAAAAAAAACAAAAATTAGATAATCAGATAATCATTTTTAAATCATATACATAATACATATAATGTTGTTTCTTCTAGAGACTGTTAAATATAATTTCTTGAATTGATTCAGGATGACATGAAGAGAATCAAAGATATAAGTATTTTTTCAGTTCTTTTTTGAATTTTTCAACACTTAATTTTTTTCTTTAGTCTGGCAGGTAATTCATTATAGAGAATTGTTCCATTGTATAAAATAGAGATCTTTTACCCATATCTGATTTAATTTTGATGAGAGTTAACATATCTTTTTGTCTGGTTATGTTATGGGTTTCAGGAGTCGGATATTATGATTCTTTCGTCATCACTGGGAAATTCAAGTGAACTTAAAAGAAGTTGTAATAAATGGTACTTAGAAAAACTAAAGAAACACGCTCTCATAGATAGCAATACTAAAAAGAAGTAAAAAATGAAATAATAATAGTGTATTGATGAATATTGAACTGAAAAAATATATTATAGAAAAAAGGAAAAAAGCAAAACAACGTTCTCGAGTTCTGCTAGTCATCAATATGTTTCAAATCATAAGGTAATTAATTATATAAAATTATTCCGTTGTAGAATACTGATTGTATGCCAATAATGGAGTTATATGGGTTTGCTATTAATGAATTCAACTGTCTCGTTTCATGAGTAAGAATTGTAGTTCAAGTTGGATATTTTCATTTTTATTCTCACAAAATGAATAAAAGAACAAATTTTTCACCCTGCAAAATTTATGTTGCGTTGTTCTGGGACACCTTGTGAAAACATTTTTGAATAAACTTCATTATCATTATTATTATTATAATCATTATTATTATAAGTTTTGAGAAATTTTCCGTAATCCGTTATCTAGATCACTCAAACAAAACAATACCAGAAAAACATCCTCACCTATCGATTTGATCTCGTCGTCATCGACAGCCTCGCTGATAGGCCGCTCGACCACCGCCTCCACGGGGCTACGCGACCCCCCCTCGAACTCCCCCCGGAAACCGCCCCCTGGCGGCGGCGCGAACCCCCTCCACACGTTGGCCACGCCCCACGGCGGCCTGACAGGCGGCATGCGCGGCATCGGAGGCGGCGGCCCCCCTACCTCCGCCCACGGCGTTCTCCTGGCGCGCCAGGGCGCAGGGAACCGCCTCATGCCGCCAGAGAAGGCGGGCGGCACGAAATCGACGAGGGGCGCGACGTTAAGTCGCTCGTCCTTGTCCTTGAACGGGATCAGGCTTTCTTCTCTCTCTTCAATGGGCGCCGGTTCCTCTTTTTTTTCTTTTTCTGTTTCGTCGTCGGTGTCCACGAATTCTTCGTCGCTGATCGGTTGGAGGGAGACGTTGAAGGAGTCTTCTTTGTCTTTCTTCTTGGCTTCTTTGAGTTTGTTTTTCTCCATTTGCATGACGATTTTTTGGAGGAGCTGGTTGGATTGCTCTGGCGTTAGGTTGCCGCGTTTTATGTTGTTCTCGTCTTCGGGGGAGATGATTATTTTGGAGTTGATTGTGGACGGGGCGGGTTTGGGGAACCTCAGGTCCAGGTCCTCCAGTACCTTCATTTTCTTCTTGTTGACTGTAATGAAATTCCATGCTTCAGTTTGATAGGATTCATTGTGATGTTACTGTTGGACCTATTATTGATCTGTAGAATCATGCTTTACTGCAAATCTTTGTTGTTCTGAAGGAAACCTAGTTAGTAGGCGAGAGGCATAATATTGTATGTTCATTGAGGGAAAAATTCGCTTTTATTGACCACATTTTCAGTAAGTTAGTGACATCTATTCTGTGAAGTTTATAATCGAAAAGATCTCATGTTTAAACATACCCAACATAAACAAGGAAAGTAAGATGAATGAAGAAGAGAATGTTATTGATGCATTGATAAAATTCTCGATTCAAGCTATGAGTAGGAAGGTAGAAACTGCTTATTCACTTTTATATTGTAAGTGAAAACCTACTACGTGATCTTTATTAAACAAATAAAGTTTATATGTACTTGCAAAAACTTTCAAGGTCAATAACTCCGTAAGGAAGTGCGATCGAATTGTTTTTTACATGAAGTACCAACATTATTTTGGCTCACTTTATCATCCCTGCAACTACCATGATTTTTTTAAATAGAGTCTGTATTACCTCTGCAATTGTTGGGATGTATGTTTTCAAAAGGCGATTTTTTTCTAGAACGGTACAAGATATCGATTGAAATAAATAATACTATTTTTGTGAAAAAAAAGATGAAGGAATCAAACGGTCTAAGCAAAATATCAAATCTGTCACCTCTGTGAAAAATGCCTTCAGTAAACGGAAAATAATTGTCCCATTCTGTATAAAACATAATCACTGAACAGCCGATTACATTCAGAAAGGAGCATTAGTATGAGTTAATTCAGTTGCCCGATTATCATTGATACCATGGCAACCGTTTGAAACTTATACATGGAATATATTTTTTTCTACTCACATAACTAAAATAGCATTTAGCGTACGGATATGTACCACGCTAAATGATCGATTGATCACGGACTGATGATCTGTGATTTATTGAAAAAACAAAAACCGTTACCATGGTAACACAATTTCTTGAACACATTATCATGGCAACAGAGTTTTTTTTCAAACACACCTTCAGTCTTTCGAGTCCTGTTAATTTGTAAGAACTGTCAACTGTCATTTTCGAATTTTGTTGTAATCAGAATTATTCAAACAATTTCTATTAGTATCAGAATTCTTCATTAAAAATTTATGCGAAACGTAGACGAAAGTGAAATCGAAAAGAATATTTTAGGTAAGGTACTTGCATATTACCAAGAACTCTAATTGAAAATGAAGCTCTCATCTTTTTGGGCAATTCATTCTATGCTAAGCATGACAATAAACGTAAACCACAATATTCATGTTACCCAAATTATAAAACCAGAATATGGATACAAACCTGAGAAATCAAAAGCTTTGACACCTCAATGAAACGAAGAGTTTTTATCTACTACGTCAGATAAAATCTTATTCACGAAGGTCAGTAAACAAACCATTTCAATAGAATAATAGAAATTCATGTAGGTATCCTATGGACCGTGAGTTAGCACATGGGTTAATCTAATTTTCGGAATTATAGGATCTTGTCAAAGAGATGAATTGTGAGTTCATAGAGAAAGTATAGTATATAATGCGTTAATGAACTCTTCAAGTCACTCGTTTATTAAACACTCGGTCCGCTCTGCTGCGCTCGTGCTTAAAATAATCGTTACTAAAATGAAGTTTATGACACTTGTTACATAAAATACTATTTTCATTGAAACTTTTTTATATGAAGTACTGACATTATTTTGGCTCACTCTAACAGGGCCATCATTTACGACATGACCTTTCCGGGCCCCCTGTATAGGATTGGATTGTTCACGGGTGATTTCGTCAGGCGTTTTCCCGCGTTTTTAATGTTATGAAATATCGTGAATTTCAATGAATGTTCAAAAAATTCACAGAGCTCTGAGGAAACAACGGTTTGCGACAGTGAACTATATAATCAATATGTTGCCGGGGTAGCAACCGGGTGGGACCAATTCCCACCCCCCTCTCACAAGACTCCCATAGGGGATGAATGCCGGTCACCTACCTTTCGACTCATACCGACAGCACCCCAGGGAGAAATGGAGAATTTGGATACGCCAAATCAGCGCGCTAGAGCCATCTCCGTTATGTAACAGCATATTCTACTGTTACCATTTTATTATACCAATGACATTCAAACTACGGGAAAACAAGTCTAACTGTCAATCTATGCCAGGGACAAGGATTTTTTTCCACCTCGTATAGTTGAAGCTATAAGTAGGGATCAAAATATACGGAGACACCCTGTTCCTCGAACATTATAGTGGCACCCTTTCTTCTTCTTTTGCAATGGCGACTTCACTGAAGGCCCCTTTGGTTTCAGCCTCAAAGGACTAATAATCCATTTTTTTGTCTTCTTGGAATGAAATGCGGAGATAAAGCTGCACTTTGGTGCGACTGGTGAAATACCATCACTTTCCTCCGTGAAGGAATTCTGGAATGAGTTCGTGCTCTATGGGATAAGGTTACTTGCTGTGAGGAATGCAGTTAAGGCAGTGGATGTTTTTATTTCATGTTCAGGTTCCCACGAAACAGGATATCCTGGAAAACATCGTGAGAACAAAGGGAGATAAGGTAGGAATTGGTGTTCTTCTCAAATTTCTGGAGGTTATATGCCTTGAGGAACACCTCCCTTGGCAATGTGTTCCAGAGTCTTGCTGTTCGTTGGATGAACGAGTCTTTGGAAAGAGATGTTCTGCAGGACTCCAAAGTGACCATAGAGGGGTGCGAAGCCTCAACTCGACGGGTTAATCTCGCGGGGACTGCCAAGGGAGGAACAATTGTTGATATTTCAGAAGAGCATAGTGAATGAAAATATCTATAAAATGGAGCCAGATTGCCAACTTTTCTACGGTGTTCCAGAGAAGTGAGTGAGTTTGTGAGCGACATCACCCACGAGACGAATTCCCCTTTTTTGGACAGAATCCAACAGTTTCAGGGTATGTTTGGGTGCTGCACTCCGAATATGGAAACAGTATTCCAGGACAGGTCGGATCTGTGTCTTATAGATCATAAGTAGCTGACTGGAAGTGTAATATCTCCTGGCCCGAAACAGAAAACCAAATTTTTGGGATGCACTTTCAGCACTTGATCTCACGTGAATTTCCCAAGAAAGGTTATTGCTGATAGTAATACCAAGCATCGAAATGGATGTCTTCAAAGGTATGGTTACTCCTGAAATGCTTATGTTCGGCACAGTGAGATCGGCTTTTCTAGAGAAAAGGCATACTTGTGTTCATTTGGATTTCTAAGCAGGTTATACATTGATAAAGCAGTAGGCGTGTTGGGGTTTCTGCATGCTATTTATCTTCCGAAAAGATGAAAAAAAGGCGAAAGCCTTTCTTACTCACATGACTTCGCCATGACCTTATCCCTGTTGGTCGCGTTCGCCAGCTTGGCCCGCACCGCGTCCAGACTGCTCTTCTGCGACTCCTCCTCCTCCCGCTCCCGTTCCTTCTCGCTGGACGACGAAATGATTGGCGGAGGCGGAGTCGGCGGGCGTGGCTCGGCCAACGGCGCGCTCGGTTCGGCGGCGAGGGCGGGCAAGGGGCGGGGCGAGTCGAGCGGTAGGCGGCGCAGGTCGGTGTCCTCGTCGCCGAATAACCTGGGAAAAGAGGGGATTCGTCATGTGTAAGATCTATAATTCCATACCGTGTCAACGAATCTATTAGACAAGCCTTAACTTCTAGAATACTCGGTGTGTCGAAATTGAAATTTATTTATTTATTCATTGAACAAATAACTTTCAGACAGAATAGGCTCTGGTATAAGGAAGTACATGATTATATACCTATAGGTGAACATTTCATCATTCAAAATATATCAACAACTATAAATTGGCAAACAAAGTATGCTCAGAAATATTTTATTATTATTATTATTATCAACAGACAATAAGGGCAGAGAGTATTGTTGAATAAACGGTAGTTGTGGAATGGGTTGTTATTGCCAAGATGTAGTACACAACATTTGCTGTCATTCAAGGGGATGTACCAGTCGGAGCACCAATGTTCTAGCGAAGCGAGATCGGTTTGGACTCTTTGGAGCTGAGCACGAATGGTAGCTGGATTTCCAAAAAATGTACTGTCATCGGCGAAAAAAGAATGATCCGAAGAGATTACATTTCGTAACTCAGAGGCATATAATAGGAACAACGTCGGACCAAGGACAGACACCTGTGGCACCCCTGATAGAACATCGTGGTAATTGGAAATTGAAAAACCAACTCTGACTCTGAACCTCCTGTTGCTGAGGAATCCATCTATCCACTTCAAGAGATCACCCGGAACTCCAAAATGTTCGAGCTAAAATACAAGCTTATTCTTGGGTACCTTGTCGAAGGCTCTAGAGAAGTCCAAATAAAAAATGTCTACTGGAGCTGAGGAGTCGAGAGCTTTTGTCCAATTGTCGAGGCAGAGAAGTAGGTTTGTTGTTGTAGATCTTCCAGGAAAATTATTCTTTCCATAATTTTAGCACATATAGGGGAAAGCTTATTGGCCAAGAGCCAGGCAGAAGGAAGAGAGTGGTGCGCAAAGGAGTATTCGAAAACGTGGCTAAGCGGAAGAGAAAGGGCTGTGGAATGTCTGTGATATTCGCCTTACCATATACGCTGTTGATACATCAGTGATTATATCCCAAAAAAACGAATTTATCTGTATTTAAATTCTGAAAAGACACACTTCCTTAGATTTAGGAATGACCAAAAGTCTTGCCCAGAACTGAATATCGAAATTAATGACAATCAAATGGCTCAAAATTGTACAAGTGTTAAATTTCTTTGACAGTACGTTAAGTTGGAAAACACAGTGTGATAAGTTGGTGATAAGGAAAGTCTTGAAAATAGATCAAACCCTCAATATTTACTATGGGCAGGTGGGATCACGGCTGAGATATGGTGTGTTTTGGGGTTGGTCCACACTTGCAAATAACATTTTTCTAGTACAAAAACGAATAATTAGAACTATTTCTGGTGTTTCGAGACAGCATAGTTCCTTTCCTTTCATATAATTGAATATCCTAACATTAACTTCACTTCATATATTTGAATTATGCAGTTATATCTTCAAAAATAAAGAACAAATTATCAAAATATCAGAAATCCATGATAAAAACACTGGGTACAAAAGATAATTTTCATATTCCGCAAACTAGACATTCAATCTTATACCGATCTAGAAATAGATTATTGGACATAACCTTCATAAAGAGGCTTTCAGCAATCATCAGTTTGATGAAAAAAGTGCAAAAGATAGGCACCAGATGGTGGAAGACGAAACAACAAATCGACGGAGTCAACAAACAGAAGTCAGCCGCACAATTTTGGTTTCGGTTAGTTGTAGCCCTGAAAATGCAGGATCTGCTGACCGAAACCAAAATTGTGCAGCTGGCTTCCGTTTGTTGACTCCGTCGATTTGTTGTTTCGTCTTCCTCCAAGTGTTTCCTATCCGAAAGCCCGAAATATGTGCCTACGGTGAACTCCCTATGAGTCCAATAACCTCTTCCTAGTTTGCTTATAACAGTTCCCTCAATATTCCTTCCATCATAGTAAGATACTTACTTATCCAAAATTTCAGATTTGCTTTTCTTTGCACTGCTATGGTCTGGCGATTCGGTCGATGTACGTTTCTTTCCAATAAGGGCCGGAAGTTGTCGTAAATCCACATCCATACCCTTAGCTGGCGCACCAACATTGGTATCTAGAGAGAGAGAGAGAGAAAGAGAGAGATAATAAACAGGTTTTCTTGTATGTGGGTGAAAATATGCTGACAGGACAATCTGTTTCCAGATGATATAACATAAATCGTGATCATCTGTGTGTGTGGCGGTCGGATTAGAATAACCCCACGCTAAGTCCTGCCTTGGTAGAAGACGACTAAAGAAGATGGCTAACACTATCGCCCGGTGCGATACCACCACATCATTACGTCAAATCTACAGGGTGTCTCTTAAATGATGACTTTAATTTCAGGTAGTGATTCTTTGTCATATTTCGTGGCAAAAAGTTCATATAAAAGTGTGTCCTAATTTTCTCCCTTTCCGAGTAACGGGGTGTCCAAAGTTTAATGAAATATCGGTTTTTCATGAATTACTCAAAATACTGTTCGCCGATTTTGATTAAACTTCGTGTGTTTGTGATTTGTAATACGAAGCTTCTTTTCATGAAAGTAGATTTTGAATTTTGTTTCCAATGGTGTGGCAGAGGGTAACCTGATTGATATTCAAACTGCTAGTTTATTTCTATTTTATTCGGAAACAGCATAAGAAATAATGAACAATAATTCCTCGACTTGCAATACAAGCATCTAGTCTCCTTCGCATTGACTGCCGCACACGTTCCAAAATACCTGGGGTGTTGCATATGACATTATAAGAAATCACAAACACACGAAGTTTAATCAAAATCGGCGAACAGTATGCTGAGTAATTCATGAAAAACCGATATTTCATCAAACTTTGGACACCCCGTTACTCGGAAACGGAGCTTAGGACACACGTTTATATGAACATTTTGTCATGAAATATGACAAGGAATCACCACCTGAAATTAAAGTCATCATTTAAGATACACCCTGTATAGTGCATATTTGTTATCAATATTGCATACTTACTGCCAATATGGGGGACATGTGGCATAACACTATTCAATCGAATCGAAGTTCTTCAAAATGAAGTTAAACTTGAACTTAAATGTAATACCAACTCAACTTTCGTTAATCAGCTACATTATCATAATAGCAGAACGCAAAACAATATCTTCTTAGAACCTGTGCGTACTAATATGGGCCTAAACAACCCCATCAGTCAATGCATGAACACCTACAATAGAAATAACAGATAGCCCAAATATTAGCAATTTTAATAATCAAATGAAGAAATTCTACACACACAAACTCAATGAAAAACCCACATAATTTTGAGTTAGGCAGTCAGTGAAATGGTTGAATTTATTTATCTATATATATTTATTATATATTTTTTTGTTACAAACATTAGGAAGAGCTGAGTTGTATTGTTACTGTATTGTTATTATTCTTCCTGTTGTCATTCAATCTATAATCAGTTTGGAATTGTAAATGTATATGTTGTAATTGTTTTTCTATTTCCGAGACCAGCACTTAGGTGCTGCTTCGGATAAACTTTTATCAGATACTGCATCACTGAACTTACCTGTATTACTGATATATGTTGTTTTTCTCATTCATTATCTGAATAAAGTTCTTGAAAATAAAAATAAAACATCGACCCTAGGCGCTGTGAAATGGGTCACACACCCAAGATTCAGTAGTTGCTTGATGATTCCGGTCAACCCAACCGAATCCAATAAAATACCTCTCCATTCGGATTTCCGAACGAGAACGAGTGACTGAGACACAGGACAATGCGATTAAAAAAATCGTATATGCTCTGTCCTGGGTACGAACTTCACAAACATTTTAGGTTCAAGGGAGGACTTTTCCTCTATTCTGAAACGAATCTCTCATTTCACCGACAAAAAACTTGTTTGATGTTATGAGCTTCAAACTCACTAGCCAAAAACAGACCAAATATCTTTGTTGTCTCTACTTATCACCAAATGGCCCATCCTATATAGAGCTCTTTGAGTTCTAAGTACCAAAAACTACCACTCAAAAACCCTCAGCAGTAGACGAATCTTGAATCAGTTGAAATTTTCGATGCTCTCAGTTTTTTATGGAAATTAATTAGTCTAGACCTGCTGACTAATATAGGATGAAATAATTTGTGAACCAAAAACTACCCCTCAACCCCCCAGAACTAGATGAGTCATAAAACAGTTGATACATATCTTGCTCCAGGTTTTTTAATGGAAATTAATTATTCTCCACCTGCTGAATACGTTCTATGGGACAGAATAATTTAAGAACCAAAAACTACCCTTCAATAACCCTCAAAAGTAGACGAATCTTGAAACAGTTGATATATCCGTTGCTCCAGGCTTACATGAATTATTCTAGACCTGCTGAATATGCTCTATGAGGTGAAATAATTTGTGAACCAAAAACCAGGGTTGGCAAATATCATGATATTTATATATATATAAAAATATCATAATATCGGATATATATCCGATATATATCAGAAATTTCGATTTTGTTCCTAGGCTGATATGCCAAAAAAAACACAATATAAAATACCTTTATTTTGGTTAAAAAAAAAATCAAACTTCAGTTGAATTTGAATATGTAATATATGGTAATATAAAAAACTTGTCGTTCGATAAATTTTTAAGGATTGCAAAACCGAGAAAGAGGAAAATAATCATCATTATCAATATTATCATCTTCACTCAGGGCAACTAATTCATCATTCGACGAGATCCAGTCCAAGCTTTTGGCTTTTTTATCTGTATTTGGGTTTAAACATTTAAAAATAAATACTAGCTTACTGGCTTTTTCGTTGCCTAGACGATTTCTTAATTTAGATTGAACTATTCCAAAACTCGAAAAAATTCTTCCTTAACCAGCTGTTGCCGCTACTGCACTGAATAACTGCTCACATAGTTGTAAGAAGAGTTCTTTTTTTGGCCATTCGGAGTCAGGAATTGCAACCGATTTCCACCAAATCATTGTAAGCTGTACCATGTACGTAACAAGCAGTAAAAAAAAACCGGGGATTCCCCGAGTTGTAAGTTATCACCACGAAACGCATTGTTGTCACGTATCCATTTTTAATGCAAAATATCCAGGACTTTTTGCTCCGGTATTTATTTTGTTAAAAAGAAGTAAATGATATATATCATAATAATAATAATAATAATAATATCAGTTTATTATGATCGACAAGAAATTTTGTGTACAATTCGTCAAGGCTATAGATAAAGTGAATACAATACAATAATACAATCTCAAATAATATGAGTTTTACAAACATTTGGATAAAATACATCACATTCACATGAAAAAAAAAAATTAAAATCAGTTCATGAAACAGTCAAAGAACTCACTTAATGAGTAAAACATATGTTTAGTGAGGATAGCTTTCAGGCTATTCCTAAATTTGAGGTGATCATGATATATATCAATCAATAAATATCAGATATATATCATGATACATATCATGATATATATCACTTGATATAATATATCGGCCAACCCTGCCAAAAACTACTCCTCAACAACCTTCTGACAGAGAAAAATCTAATGTCAGTTGAAATTCCCGTAGCACGAAGTTTTTCAGCAGGTCACAAATAATTCATCTCTATCAGAAATAATTCTTCTAATTCTTCCAATCAACGAGAACGTTCATCCCGGAAAACTGAACAAAAAACAAGAAAAATTCGCATCATTTTGTGTGACGATGGGATTTTGCGGGAGCGAAGCGAGATCCCGCAAACAAATTTACACAAAATTCGTTTACTAACTACTTATGTACAATAGTTTCTCTGATTTTGATGAAAAATTCAGCTTAAAGAAAGAATGATGAGTTTTATATTATGAGTTTTACCGAATAGAGTCACTGGATGGTATTGGTATATAACAATTCAAACACAAAATACAATATTCTCTTGGTCCATCCATATTTTAATTGTGTGACTGAAAAAATGAATTATTTTTCTACACTTTTACTCCGCTGTTCATCTCAATATAACGTTGTAACCGCCTTAGTACCCTGAACCAACGAAGTAACCGACATGGATTAAAATATTGTTCTATTGAAATAATAAAAATATGCTTATAAATCACAATTCTGTCTGTGGTCAAATCTATTATGCCTATCATATAGTCAACTTCTTCCTTGTTGATCATACTAGGCATATATTGACTTTTCCGTCGACCTCGAACTAATGAGTAAGTTTAATGTTTATGAAATTGATCGTTAATGATCCTTATAATTTGTCTATTAATGCACCATTGAAGCATAGGCAACCAAACATACACCACATCCATTCATTGTTTATGCTATAACTTACGGAATCTGCATTTGAATAGAAAACATGGATTACATTGAAGATTTTCCGTCAACGGGTTAGCCTTTCTAAGTTTCGGAAACGATTCTGAATCCTGTTTTTTAACACAACTAACAAGGAATTCATTTTAACAAATGTGAAATGTCACTAATATCAGTGACAAGGTTACTGGGTCTTAATAGTTTTTGCATGAATGATAAACTCGCGAACAAAGTGTTCTTCATCACAGGAGAAATGAGAAATATATTCGACAGAAAAAATTTGTAATCAACTCGTGTATCAAGAGGCGATGAATGATCTCGAACTTTAACGCGCTCGCTTTGTTCGCACGTTGAAATATCTGGATCAGTATCTCATCAGTGTATTGATGGTTGGTTATTATTTAATGAAACAATCGATCATAACCCGTTTTTTTTTTGTTTTTCCAATAAACATGATTCTGGTTACAACATTGTTCCACCATAGGGTTCAATATCTGTTTTCACCAAAACCGACCCCCATTTCAACCCGCTGTACTCACTCTGTTCCTCAGCGGCCTCTCCTTGCAGCCTCGGCTGCTTCTCGGGCGGCCCGAACGCCCGCAAGTCCTCGTCCTGTCTAGGCTCGGGGCTAGCCGACCCTACCACCCGACGCACATAATTCCGATTCTTCACCGACCCCTTCAGCCCCTTGAACATGCCATCGCCCTCCGGCTTCTGGCCCTTCGGACTCGCCTTCTTCTCCTCGCCCTTTTTCTTCTTCTTCTGCTTGGTAGGCGACTGCTGCGACAGGTCGTTTTTCGCTTTGGTCGGGGAATCGAGGCTGCTGCTCGAGTTGGATTTTAGCGAACTGGTGTCGGAGCCGCTAGATTTTTTCGCGTGGCGCACTTTCATCGGGCTGGCGAGTTTCGCGCTGTCCTTGTCTTGGTCTTCTTTGTTGGTTAGTCGCGGGTCGGTTCGCGGTTTTCGTGCGGTTAATTTGGACGCGATTCTGTTGTTGTCCGCGGTGCCGGTTTTTTGGGGTTCGTTCGAGGTGATGTTGGATTTTTGTTGTTGTCGTAACAGTCTGGGGTCTCTGATGGTGGGTTTGTTGCCCGCCGCCGCTATCAGATTGCTATTGACGGGGTTGATGCGCGTGCCGTTGCTCGGATTTATTTGTAATCTCTGTGGTAATGTGACGCCCTAGGACAAGAATATGCATAAAAACGAAAGAAATAGTTTTTTGATGTATTACCATTCCGCTTCCTTTTCTGGTCAATGTGGGTACTAGCTGTTTCGCAACCTCTGGTTTAAGGAGAATATTCTGAAAGAAAGGAACATATTGATAGAGAAGTGGACGAAATAACAGCCGCAACCGACTCCATTTATCAACCCGATTTCTGAACTAAGGTAAATAATGAAGTTCTAAGACGCAAGGAGTGTAGCCGTTTTCTATTAAATATTTCAACAATGATTTTTTAATTTACCAAAAAAATGCAACTGACCAGTTTGCTGTGAAAATAAAGTTAATTTGAGGTATAGAACTGAATCATTTAAAATCGATAGAAATAAACAAGTTGGTTTACCGAATGGTTAGCTAATATATACTGATCACCTCGTTTACCGGCTGAAAACTGATTACTCATATGTCACCAGAGGAACCAGTCGAAAATCACCGGTATCTCAGTGCGGAACTTAACGCAATAATTAAAATGGGAATATTGTTTTGTTTTTCGTTGTAATTTACAAATATAAGAATTGAACAGAAAACTAAAACACATCAACGTCATCAAACTTACCGAACTTACCAGAGAAAATCCAGGGTCGTTCAGGTGACACTGTATCTACCGCTTTTTCAGCAACCGAATTCCGTAAATAACCTTTTTTCAGGAACCAACCAAACAATTCATATTTACGAAACGGAAAACTACTAAACGAAATAGCCAAGTTTATTTACGGAACATTCCCATGGGACGGCAAACCACAACCAACTTTGGAAACGGAAAATATTCGGCAGAGAACCAGAGAAGTATTCAAGTGTTCAAATGAATCATAAATTGTATTCAATTTATATGGACAGTCCTTTTAAGAACTTTCCTGAAATAGACAGTTAAAGGATTTTATAGCAATGTCAACATTTTCAGCGTTGATAGGTACAGAAATATCAGAAAACCTAAAGGTATTTCTTACAGTGTTTCTTCTTCTTCATTCCTTTGCTGAACCTCAGTTTTGTATTCAAGTACCACATCATGAAAATTGACGCTTAACCCAAAATCATGAATAATGCATGAATAATGACAAAGTTTGACCATGAGAATATTTTTTGAAAATACTGATAATACTCTAACGTCACGCAATTGTTTGAGTATTTGAAATATTGTGGATTTCAATATTTAAAAAATCACACATGAAGCTCTCTGAAGAAAAATCCTTAGGCCCCAAGAAATTTTATATTTTTTGTACGTCAGGTCTATTTCCAGATAGATTGACTGCATATTGAAAACTGATTCGAACGTCAGTCTTTGCTATTCAAATGGAGTCGGCTTAGTCGGCTATGTAACTTGTTAATGAATCCTCTGATAGACGATTGGACATGTAAGGAATATTTCACATTCTACAACTCACTTGCGGTCTTCCTGTGATCGGAACGTTTGGTACGTTGTGCTTTATCTGCTCCTGAAGCTTCACTTGCGTCTGCAGCACTTCCAGTTCGAGTTTCTTCTGTTGCAGCTCGAGCAGTTCTTTCTGCTTCTGGATCAACTTTTCCTGCATCAGCAGCGTCTCCTTATTGACGTTAGCGGGATTGGCGGACGAAAGCCTCGGGGTCGGTTCCGTTTCTGCTTTGGGCTTTGTCGGTGGAGCTGCCTGTAACGGTTTATAGCGAAAACAACTTAGAATTTGATGTCTTTAGAAAAGAAACTAACACATTTAGATACATACCTAATGACTCCAATCACTGTTTTCAGCACAAAATGGCAAGTTTAAATTTTCTAGTACACAGATTGATTTCATTTCCTCTCAGCAAAGAAAGATTCAATGCTGAAAGAAATGTTGTTTATAAAGTGGCTGGCGTCAATGGGTATGATATCAAAATAGTAGATAAATTAATACGTAGACATAAATTTAAGTTAACACTTCGATATTCTACGACTTTTCAAGCGGATAAAAAGAACTCTAGAAGAATCCCAATCCCGTACAATATCAAGTATACGAAGGGACTTGATAAGGTTTTCAGAGACTTAGGTTTTGAAAGCGTTTATCAGTCTGGGTCAAAATTAGGCAATTTATTAGGCAATCCGAAAGATAAAGTGGACACACTTGAAAAGTCGGGAATATACGAAATAAGTTGTAATGATTGTGATAAAACATATATAGGCCAAACCAGGCGACCCATAAAAACAAGGTTCAAAGAACACATAGCCCATTTAAAATATGGCAGGTTAGATAAATCTTGTGTAGCCGAACATATGTTCAATCACAATCATAACACACATATTACTAACCTCAAATTAGTTAAGCAAGTTAATAACATTAGAAAACTAGACGCATATGAAAGCTTAGAGATATTTAAGAATAGTAATAGAGTAATGAATAAGGATAATGGACCTATTCCATATAGCCCTCTATATAGTTTAGTAAAATTAAAATTAAAATTAACATGTGAACTCAACCATGACAAACATTAACTTGACGGTTAGTATTTTTAACAGTTGGGTGAACATATACCTAGTATATAAGCAGCACACTAGAATAGGATATTTGGTTTTAATCTTCTCCTGAAGATGCTAACATAGTTAGCAAAACACGTGTCGAGGCGTTAAAAAATCGGTTTGGTTAGTGGTAAAACAGTGTAGTGTAATTTTCTTCGCTGTATCAATGGTCCTGTTTTTTCACCAAAAATAATACAAAAAAAAGTTTTCTTCAAAAAAATCATGACCCACCCACTAAAAACACCCTATAGCAGAAATGTAGAAGTGTATCAGGAAATAGTATAATACACACCGAGGTGGGAAGTGATTCATTCCTGTCATGAGATTAGTTAGTTAATCGAGACGCAAATTTTGTTACCTGAACCTATATTTCATGCCGGCCGCATCATATTCTGTTTCCATTTTTGTAGAATTACGTTATCCGATGGAAATTCGAATAGAGTGAATTGATTTCCCGTGTTCTCACAGTTGATTGATTGATTGTCAGTGCATAAAACGTCAAAATGGCAGTGTCAAGTACATGTAGGAACTCTAACCTATCATAACTTAGTTGATTTGATGGCGTAGAATAGGTGTAGTCTGATTCTATTACTGTGAATCGAATATTTGTCGAATATAAGTAAAGAACTGAACTGCGCATTAGTGCATAACTGTTATAATACAGGGTAAAGAACTAATATTCAGCTCAAAATTATAGCCACAAAAATGAATTGGTAGACAATAATGAGTATAATTATTGTTATTTGTTATATAACATATTTCATTCTTGATGTAAGACGATAGTTTGCTGGGATCAACCATAAAAAATGCATAAAAGTATTCTGGAGATATATTGTTATTGTGATACTACACTATGAGATTATTTATATAATGGATTTTGTCTACAGCGTCGAATCGACAGCGGCGCGATTGTCAATTACGGGATGGATAAAAAAAAAACATAATGCCGTGGCGGCCCGAACTATGTTATTCTAAGATTTTACCGATATCGGTTTGCCGCTGCCGACACATATCCGCTGCTGACAGCGATGGCCCGGCTATTTACCGCCTATTTATGATTGCTGGGTTCTGAGTTGAAACAGATTCTATACGATGAACAGGTGGATGATTACTCAAATTTTTCAGAGAAACTTGTTATGATCACTCAAATTTTTCAGACAAACTTGTTATCGATGGATAATCGGACACTTACGTTGGTCTGCAGAAACTTCGGGTTGAAATAGATGCTGTTAGAGGGCGGCAGAGCGGTGACAGGCCAAGCGGGATCGAGCAGGTTGATCTGCACGTCGATGGCGTAGAGCTTCTTCTGCGGGAAGACGTCGTTCCACGTCTGCCGCAATTTGAACATCTCGGCCCGCGTCTTCTCGTCCACCTTGAATTTATTGTTTTGGTCAATGCCACAATAAACGTTAGCTTTCAATGTCTGGTGGATAGAGAAAAGATGCTATGATAGTATTGTTAAATTTTCAGAAGCATGAAGAAGAGAAAGGAAAATGAGAAAATGTAGAATAGAAAGACAATTAGAAATGAAGAGGAAAGCATTTATAAAATTTGCATTCAATAAGCTATTTGAATTCGATGAGACCAGCATAATTCATTATATTTCGACGCTCACTTCCTCTCTTGTGATTGAGAAACTTTGAATTCCCTATCTCAGAGTCTATCCATAGAAATTGTTTATATTCAATTCCCATACAATTTCAACTTGGCAGCTATACTTCGGTTCGGTGTATTTATATTATTATACACCGTGTCCCAGCTAAAATGTCCCCCCATGTAAAAAATCAACCGCGCGATCGATCTTGAAATTTGGTCACCCAGTATATTTGATGATGCGCACTCGAAATATGCTGTTGAATAAATAGTAGGTATACAGGGTCACGCCGAAGTGCACCTAAACTTTCCTACTTGAATAGGGACACCCAGTATATTATTCCATATTCAAGTAGAGTTCATTATCACGAATTCAACGATGCCGGGTTTATACCGGGTGGCTACGGAAGTATTGCCAACGGAATATCTCAGTTATTGTATGAAGTAGGTTTGTGAAATTTGGAGCGTAGATATAATGACATAAGAGCTAGAATTTGAGCATATTGACATGTTGAAGTTGACTTCCGGTCTGACCGGAAGTAACATCAACTTTCTTATTTTGAATGGAAACCCTATTTTTTTTTCTTTCCGCTTTATTCAGCATTCGATTCCCCTTTTAATGACATATCACAAGTTGGTATCTAACCAGAAACTAGATCAGAAAAAAATTATTATTGAAATTCACCGAGTAGGCCGTGGAAGCAAAATGAAAGCCAAAAATTGAAAAGTTGGATGTGGAAACCATACGTCACTTGATAACAGTTGCTACTACTGTGATATTTTATTTTCATTCGTCGGCGTTATAAAAAGCCGCCAAAAACATATTGGAAAAATTGGGAAAAAAACAATACTCTGTGGGTCCATAACTTGAATAGGAACATACAACTTTTTCTTGTCTGTACTATTCAGCATAACCATTTCTTTCTCATGATATAATCGAAAGTAATTTTTCGAAATGAAATATCAAAAAATCCAATTATTATTCTTCAAATAACAAAAAAACAGATTTATCGAAAAAACAATTCAAGATACCAACTTGTGATATGTCATTAGAAAGGGAATTGAATGCTGAATAAAGCGAAAAGAAAAAAAAATAGGGTTTCCATTCAAAATAAGAAAGTTGATGTTACTTCCGGTCAGACCGGAAGTTAACTTCGCCATGTCAATATGCTCAAATTCTAGCCCTTATGTCATTATATCGAGCTTCAAATTTCACAAACCTACTTCATACAATAACTGAGATATTTCGTAGGCAATACTTCCGTAGCCACCCGGTACATCGTCTATTCTGCTGCAAACATTTCCTAGCTCTTTTGATAACGTGCATTGTGACCCTATGTATCAAATTGCGATCAATTTGTGCGAATGAATTTGTGATTTTCTCTTTCATTTCTTCCATATTCACATTTTTTTTTTCAATTTGAAGAGTATTTTTGTTTCTAGGCGAAGTTTGGTAAAAAATTACCAACGTACACGAGGTGTCGGTGAAAATGTTTGTTATCAATTATGGTGGATAGTGAGACAAATTTAGGGACAAAGTAATGTTGAATTAGCCTTACCATGATAACTAAGCAAGCTGTAACTCCATTTTCAATAAGATTTCAAAAAATAAGTGAAAGCAGAAGCAATGATTCAAATAACACTATGAGCTGTCGAGAATAGTTTTTGTATAAAGCTTTGGTTGTGTTTTCAAATACATCGTTCTATTTTTTCATTTTTCGTTGAATTCCGCTTTCTTCTTGAATTCAACGATTTTGAGTACCTAACGTTCTGTGTTCACAAATTTGCAAAAACTCCATTAAACTAATTTAAACCAGTGTCAAAATTATCTTGAAAAACAGAGGAATTAGTTTGTAGTTTTTTTGATTAACAATTGTGTTTTTTCATTATTCAAATCAAATCATACATTGCTAAAAAACGGATGATAAGACTTAATCGAGAATGGAAGCAGGTTTTTAATTAAAAAATTGTGGAAGGAGTCTACTTTTCCACTAGATATATGAAATTAATGCCAGAATTGAAAGCCCGCCACCTATTGAAATCAAATGCAGATGTGAAATGAAGTAAAAAAGATCCTCATAAAAATTTTTACAAATAAATATTTGAGTTCAGTTGTTATTAGCAAGAAACCAACAATAAAGAATTGGATTCCTCTTCAGTAAATACACTGAGATCACCATAAGATCGAGAAATAATGAAGAAAAAGTTCATAGGAAAAAGTTGTTTAGGTATTGATCACAGAGTTTTTCTATTTCTTATTCCTATGGTATTCTAAAAAAGAACTGAAAATATGATTGCATTTGTTTTGACTTTCATCAGATAGAAAATGAAGAAAGATTCATCACGAATACAATTTTATTCTCTGAACAATATTGAATGTTTAAACACTAAGATGTGCATTTTACTTGATTTTTTGGGATTTTTCTCTCCTCGTTTCTATAAAATAAAAATAAGAATTTGCGTATTATTTCAATATATTTGTAGTGGGACAAATCAGATGTTTTGCCCCAAAATGTCACTGCGCTCAACAAATTTTTCTATCAGGGAGCCTAAAAGAAAAATCGAGTAGCTTGTCAGTGACACTTTGTTTGAAAAAATGTTTGGAGGAAAGAAACATCGATAAATCGAAGCTAACTGAACATATCCTTACTGAAGATGGACAACATATGGCAGAGTGGAATAATATCAAAATCATAGGAAAGAAAAATCAAGGAATCCGCATTCTTCTGAACGGAGACAATAGCATTGCTTCCCGTTCAGTTGATATAGATAGAACATGGTATTCACTACTGAAAACTGAACATGAAAATGGTAGATTCAAGATCAATTAATGAAAACATCCTTTATCTCATTTGTAGACTAAAATCACGCATTCATGTGCCAACATCACAGCACAACTTCCAAAGGAAAATATTTTACATTTTCATGTTGAGAACGGAAGCAGATTCGTTCCCGAAACGTCCAAAGATAAGTATAAATTCGATATATTTTCAATATATCTATATTTCTTTCCTCCAAACATCTTTTTCAAACAAAGTGTCACTGACAAGCTACTGAATTTTCTTTTAGGCTCCAGGTTGTGTTGTCTCCCGACGCGTAGCCACAGTAGAGAGCTTACGTAAGCTCTCTACTGTGGCGTAGCGGAGGGAGACAAAAAACCGTGAGCTAAAATCTAATATTTTTCCCGTGTATAATACACTATTTTTTTCTGTGACAGAAGAAATGACGAATCAATATAGAGAAGATATCACATTATTTTGAAATCTGAAAATTATCGACGTGAAATTTTAAGTTTTTAACAGTAGGCATCTTCATCATATTTTTGAAGTTATCAAATATCTGATGTCACTTCTGTCAGTCTAATTCTGTGATTTGATTTCAAAAAATTGCGAATTTAGTGGTTGTTTAGTAATATACGTAACCGCGAAGTCGAATGGAAGATAAAAGGACTTGCAGTTCTTTCTTGGAGACGGTATTATTGACTCATTTTTCGCAACTATAGCACAACAAAAGCCATCAACAGTGCATATATGTGATACATATCCAGGAAAAAAGTACTCACTTTTTTTCCACGAGAAAAAGGTAATTCATGAAAAGTGACGTTTTATAACCTGCCAACAGAGATGAAAAGCCAAACTTTTTTCCCGTCACAGAAAAAATTTGTTTAACGCAGTGACATTTTGGGGCAAATCATCTGATTGGTCCCACTACAAATATATTGAAATAATATGCATATTTTTATTTTTATCTTACAGAAACGAGAGAATATCCCAAAAAATCAAGTAAAATGAATGTACCACCTCCTCGATTAACTTACAGACAGTATTTACTAAAATGTGATTGAAAAACTATATTTGCTCAGAAATGACCAAAGATATTCTGATATAAAAAATACAAATTCAATATTGTTTTCTTTTCAACATTATTTGGTAATGTAACTTATGTCTAGAAGTAAACATTTATATTTTTTTTCTGTGACGGGAAAAAAGTTTGGCATTTCATCTCTGTTGGCAGGTTATAAAATGTCACTTTTCATAAATTACTTTTTTCCCGTGGGAAAAAAGTGAGTACTTTTTTCCCGGCTATATATCACATATATATACTCTGTTAATGGCTTTTGTTGTGCTATAGTTCCGAAAAATGAGTCAATAATACCGTCTCCGAGAAAGAACTGCAAGTCCTTTTATCTTCCATTCGACTTCGCGGTTTCGTATCCTACTGAACAACTACTGAATTCGCAATTTTTTGAAATCAAATCACAGAATTGAACTGACAGAAGTGACATCAGATATTTGATTACTTCAAAAGAATGATGAAGATGCCTATAAAACGCAGGTGTCCCTACTGTTAAAAACTTGAAATTTCACGTCGATAATTTTCAGATTTCGAAATAATGTCATATCTTCTCAATATTGATTCGTCCTTCCTTCTGTCACAGAAAAAAATAGTGTATTATACACGGGAAAAATATTAGATTTCAGCTCACGGTTTTTTGTCTCCCTCCGCTACGCGTCGGGAGACAACACAACCTGGAGCTAAAATCTACTACTTTTTTCCCTTGTATAATAAATAACTATTTTACTGTTCAAAAATGAATATTCAAGGGAATTCAGTGGCCAAGTGACACACATTGAAGGGCTTGTAGATGAAGCTAAATTATGAAGAATATCAAATAAATATTTCCCTCAATTTAATTGAAAAATAAAATTAATAAAAAAATACTTACTGCTGTAAATACACCACAAAACATAGACACAATATTCTGGCTGAAGAGACTGGTGTAAGTTCCTCCAACATTCTTGACTATGCAATCGATGAGATATAGAATGGGAAGTTTCACATCAATTGGAACCTATATAGAAATACACTGATTGTTTAGCATAGTTCTTAAAAAAATCATCTCTCCTCAAACTTTCACAAATGATTACCTACGATTTTCAGTCCTGTGCAGAAAGGGGGCACTTTGTAGCACTATGAGCACCATTTTTTTGAACACAAATTCATGTAAGTGTACCTATTGCTAATATTGTGATGTAACTTTTGTGCATAATATGAACATCACACAGCAACTTTAGTTAGGCAGAGAGAGCCTTGAGTATCAAATCAAGTGGAATTGAGAGAGTACTTGAATATTTTACTATTTTATAAATTATATCAGTTAAAAAGGTGTCTAGAGAGTAGGCGTCAAAAATTATGATGAAAAATCTAGCTTTTACGGCGGTAGATTCGAATTTGTTAGCAAGTGTGCGGACACGTTTGATTCTGAAAAAACAGCATCATTGAAATATCGAATCACTATCGATCCCAATAGTACAATTACTCACTTCAAAGGAAAAAGAAGTAGGTTGTCTCAAATAACAAAAAAAGTTTGAAGATGTCCATACTGCTCAAAGTGGAATGGTAGTAGTTGAAGAAATAATGAACCTCTAAGTCATCTCCACGAAATTTAATAGGTTAACATGTTTCTGAAGGTGACATGTTTCGGGCTCATAATAAGCACATCATCAGCCAAGGTACTATAACGTCGAGCAATGAGTATTATTCCTGTTACTCGTTTATACTCGTTGTATAAAGTTTTAGTATCTTGGGTAATGATGAGCATACTATAAGCACGAAACATTGTAACAAAACCATGTCAAAGTTATTTATGTACCAAGTGCGTTATACAGGGTGTATCTAAATGACACCGAAAAAATTCAAGGGGCGATTCCTTGTCTTATTCTAGCAAATTGAGTTCATATAAACATGTATCCTAACTTGCTCCGTTTTTGAGATACAGGATGTTGAAGTTGGAAGTATCAATTGTTTTTATTCATAACCTCCCTGTATAAGCTTTCATGGTGCCAAAATTCAGTATGGTTGGAGACTGATTGTGATTGGGGTTATTGAGTAATCTCAATGGAAGTCTTGAAGACACCTATAGTAAAATTTGGAGTCAAATCGACTATTTATTTTTTCTTCAAAAAATAAGGTAGATACTAAAATCACACAAAGGATAAAAAAGTTGTAATTTCAATAGTTCAATCTAATAAAAATACTAAACTCAGAAAAATCCGTAGCGTACAATGAAATTCACCATAAATATCGATAAATTTACCCACTGTGACGACACTGGAAATATTATTTCGAATCTGATTGCACCAGAAGAAGCTCCATATTACTATTAACAAAACCACATAGTTTCATTGAAATCGATGGAAAGACAATTGAGTAATAAATAAAAAAACGATTTTTCATGGAAATATTGATATGTACCCTGTATCTCGAAAACGAAGCAAGTTAGGACACATGTTCATATGAACTTTGTTTCCTGAAATATCACAAGGAATCGCCCCTTGAATTTTTTCGGTGTTATTCAGATACACCAAGTGTGATATATTGATGCAATAAGCTCTTCAGGAAGAAAATAGACGGTGTTCCGTTTGAAATAACAAAGTTGATAGTTGTTTCTGATAGAAGTGGCAACACTGTATCGATGAAAATATTTTAGATGGATAATGTTCAATTATCAAAGCATCCCAATTTTCAGAATGTTCTGTCTTTTCGTTCCCCAGATACTTCTAATAGGCCATCCACCGTGGATCACCCTGTATAATGTACTTGGTAAGTACATAAATATCTATAAATGTCGTGGAGATGACTTAGAGGTTTATTATTTCTTTACATATCACAGACTGGAACCTTTGGGACCACACTACACTGTTTCACCACTAACCAAAACGATTTTTTTCTACAAACGTCAAAAAATGACATGGTTCACGCATTGATAACAAATTGCGAAGTGTCACTTTTTTTCAGTTTCGTACGTTACCATGATACCTTGCACAAATAGTGTTATGTAAAATATAGGAGATAGTTATATTTCAACTGTATGGTCTTCAATCGAACAAACAACAGGGTGTTCCATTTGAAATAACAAAGTTGCTAGTTGTTTCTGATAGAAGTGGCAACACTGTATCGATGAATATATTTTAGACGGATAGAGAATGTTCAATTATCAAAGCATCTCAATTTTCAGAATTTGTTGTCTTTTCGTTCTCCAGATACTTCTAATAGGCCATCCACCGTGGATCACCCTGTATATATAAGCATGGAGCCAACTTATTTTACTCCCTCCCGTGAGAGTAAATTGAAGGTTTGTGTCTTCAAATGAGGGAGCAAACGCTTACTTTCCATGCAGTGAGTAGATCAAAATTATTGACTTTGACATAGAACTATTGTTATTCACATGCTATTGTTTCATTATCCATAGCAGACTTCAAAATATTCGGATACGAGGGGAATACAAAAATTATTTTTTAATAAAATCGCAATAATGATATGAGTTGATTGTGAACTAAAATTATGTTTGTGATATATAGTTGGAAAAGTAATTCTATACTGAATCGTTATCTACAGAAAAAATCATAATCTGTATTTGAAATTGAAAAATTGGAAGCACTTCCGGTCAAACCGGAAATGTCATATTTGGTCTGATACTAGGGAAATTATACACTTATGAAATATAATCAATATACCAAATTTGAAGCATCCATTCAAAATAGCAACAAAGATACGGGGGGGTAGATTGTTTCCGGGTCACCGGATCACCAGCATTCTAGAATATGATATTTAGTTTAAATGTTCTCCTGAAGATGCTAACATTATAGGAATTTCCTTCCGTGCGCCCCCAAAGATGGAAAAAAAACATAGTTAGGGAAACAGAATCGGTTTGGATAGTGGTTAAACAGTTTGGTGTGTGATTGTATCATGATTTCAACCCGGTACCTTCGGCGTATCCAAGCAAAACGATGTTTTATAGACTATTGAATTTCGTGGCCATCCTACTCCCTAGACGTGCATTCAAAAACGATAAATCCCACTTTAAAAATCATTACACCTAAATCCAGCAAACTATATAATATCACTCATTGCTCTACTCCATCAACGATGAACAAAATCACAATTTTTGTCTTTTTATTATGGAGAAAATGTCATTGTAATTTTTTTGTTCATGTGTAGTAGAATATCATAATTTATAAGCTCTATGGGATATGTTACTAAATGTGATACATAAATGAAATGATACACAAGAAATTTGAAACCAATATATTACACATTTATCAACAATCATATGGGGAGAACAGTGAGCAATGAGTTTTAGTGTTCTGAAATCCCATATACAGGGTGTTTCTTATGTGTCTTTAACATCACAACACTGACTACAAAATCACTTTGATTAGAAGAAAGTTTCTTTTCTCGAGTTTCTTAGATATTAGGGAAAAAAGTTGATGTTCACCATCACAGTTTTGAGAAAATCGCATCATTAATACTGAGATAACTTGATACTTTAAAAATATGAATTGGGGGTTTTTTGAGGATGCTGATTCTGAATCTGATGAAAACAGTTATTTGAAATAAGCCTTAATATCCTCTTTCCGAATAATGGCTCTTTTGTACCCGCCAATGGGGAATGAAACTGTTCACTCTGCTAAACACTTAATTGTTCTAACATACAATCAGGACTGAAATTTTAAGTGAATAGCATCATTAATAACGCAGATATCAGGGTGTATATATGAAAAGTAGGACACACTGTATATCACATATATATAAATTGTTGAACATTGTTGATGGCGTTTGTTATGGTATATTTCCGAGAAATAAGTCAATAACACCGTTTCCCAGGAAAAACTGCTAGACCTTTCATCTTCCATTGGACTTCATGGTTACCTATGATTGTGTTATGAAATAGTATATTACATAACAAAAGTTGTAAAACGCATATTACGCACGAAGTGGAGAGAGTTACACACGATGCCGCATAGCGGCGAGTGTGTAACTCCACAAGTGCGTAATTGCTTTACAACTCGAGAATTGTACTATACTTTTTCTACGACTACACTATATTTTCTTCCGGATAGTGCAGATCTTGTATTAAGGCACAAATAACGAATACCAATATAAAACGTCTTCCGTCACTAAGCCAGCTGCATGAAAAGTTACAAATCACAATTCTTGTGTTTGTTTATTGATACATTGCATACCGAGACATTTTCATCAATTCGAACTGAAATTGAATTCATATCTAAACAGCTTTATTAGTAGGTAGCCAAAAACACATTGTATAAAAATATAAAACTAACATTCATAATGGTTATTTATTTGTAACAGTGCAGCACGAGAGATTTTGTAATCGTTATTGAAAATGATAAAAAAAAGTTCTCCAACTGCGCTCTGAACCACCGACCTTTGGGTTTGGAGCCAGCGCTTCCAACAACTGAGCCATTACCATTTCTCCATATTAGTAGATATTTTATAAATATAATCTCGAAGATGGATCTTTTTTAATTATTCCTGTTATTTAAAAAAAAGGAATTCATCAATTCAATGTTGAGTATGTATGTTATTTGAAAAATAACCTTCAACTAGAGCATTCTGCAGAAAGTAATTGATCTGTTCAGCATTAAGTATTTTTGATTTTTTACTTCGGAATCTATATCCTCTTCCATTTTGAGGAAAGGGGATATGTTGCTAAATTAATATTGTGATTGATATTTTAGTGTTGATCGTAACATGGAATATATCGACCAGAGTGATGATGATTTCATGAAATTTGGTAATAATTCTTGAAAATATACTAAAAGGATATTTTCCGAAAATGACACGGTATTATTTCTAATTCTCCAGTCCAGGAATTTTTGATGTGCTATTTCCTATCATTCACGAGACTTAGCGGGTAGCAACTCATTTTTTACCATTCTAGCTTTTTCCAACATTTCTGGTGGTGTAGAAATAATCTGCTCATCGTCATCGCTTGACATCATTTTTTTTTAACTGAAATTGAGGATTCTCAATAGAAAATAATCATATTTTCAAAAAATATAACTTTCTTGATGCTTTCGGTTTCGGTGGATAGCTGGATTGATTGATAAAAAAATAAGTACCTACCCACCTAGCTAGTGACATCAATGAAATTGTTAATTGTTATTGACACATCGCCTAAGCAACAAAACAAAGTCATCTATCAACATACCTATGAAAACCGTGCGATCGCTCTCTTTACGCACACGTGTGTAAGGAGAAGCTTACTGCCATTGTTTTGTGTACAATATCCATCACTCACAGTAGTAGTCGTAGGAAAAATACTAAACAATCACTAAATTCGCAATTCTTGAAAATCAAATCACAGAATTAAACTGACAGATATTTATTCTCTGATTTTAATATAATATAATATCTTTTCAATATTGATTTTTCCTTTTCCTGTCACCAGAAAAAATAGTGTATTATACACGGAAAAAATATAAGATAATAGGTCAGGGTTTTATACTTTTTTCCCTTGTATAATAAATAACTATTTTTATTCTTCAAACTTATACAAAACGCCGAAACTTGTAACGGAATAATTTTGATGGTTTTGTCCAGAAATTTCATCCAAACAACGTGAATCAACAATTTGTTGAATAAAAAAAAACTTGATGCAATGAAGCAAAATAAGACTATCTATTTGAGGAATTAATGGTTTTCATTTTGCTCTTCTTGATGTTGACAAAAAAATATATTTGTATTTGTACCAGTTTGTAGGGTTAGTATAAATAATATTTTCAATTTCAAATATCTGAGAAACCCACTCTATTCCAAAATGGTGGAAGAAATATTGAAATAACCAAAAAAGAAAATTTTAACAACAAATTCAGGTTCATATTGAAAAAAAGTTATTTAAACAATCAAGCAATTTGGCAACTCTGCCAATGTATAACTTGGTCATTCACATACACCACATGGTGATGATAGCAATGTTAAAAACATATAAAAAACATCCCTGTTTTTAAAAACACTTATGTAGTTGACCCTAATATATATATATATAGTATAAAATATGTATGAATCAAGTTCATTAGAGGTATTGATTAAATCATTTGGAGAGGACTATTTTTACCAATGATACACCTGGCTTCATTCATTGATCCTTTTCCACACAAAAAAATCAATTGATGGAAATGATAGAGGGAGAAACTGAGTCTCACTAAAAATATAGAATTCAATGAGAAATTTTTTCTACCTGTTATGACGCCTTAAAGGGACATCATCATGATAAAAATACAAAATGAGTATAATATAGTGTCACCAACTCCACACTTTTCAACTGATTCCATTTTTTTTTTGTTTCAACAAATAGGGTATCAAAAGGTCTATGTTCATAAAAATTTGTAACAGGAAGGTTGAAAATCATTCAGGTTTCTAGCAGATATTCAAATTCATATTATTCATAACATAAATATTATAATGTATTTATGGAAAGGATTCATTATGTTAGGATGATTATTGAAACTGGAATTTTTTTAGTTGATAATATCTAGTGGAGAAGACTCACACAGGTATCAAATACAAATGCGTCACTTTTGCAATCTGATTCACATTCTTCAATGGTTACATTCATATGACAACTCTGATTAATATATTGAAATATTCATTATACCATACAGGATGGTTCAAGTAAAGTGCTACTATGAATTATCATAATAATACCTGGTGAACATGATAACAATGATAGTAATACTGATATTGATTCAAAACTGAAATGAATCACTAGACAATTGGGGATCTTCTATAATTCTTTGACTCTAACAGTTAGAGTTAGAAGTTATCGACCGATACCGAGACCGATGCCGATATATCAGCTATATCGGCCGAGGGCCGATTATCGGTATAGGCCGATAGATGTGAGTACATATCGGCTATATCGGCCGATGTATAAATAAAGACAACCATAGCAGCTTAAAACATTTTTTTATATTTAAATTTGAAGTAATATTTGAAATAAGGTAATCTTAAGAAATTATGGTAGATATAACATGAAATAGGCATTTAATATGAATACTGTAGTTTTGGCAAATTATCATGTAAAATAATAAGTGGCTGGGTTGTTTCTGGATTCAGCAGATTCCTTTTCGCCGAATTTATGGTTCATTCAAAGTGCAATTTTTGTTTTTATTTTTATGATTTTAAATTGAACGTAAAAGAATTATAAATTATATTACAGAATATTCAGATTTTAGAGATTTTAGACAATAATAATTAATAAATGTTATCAATTAGAATAGGCCGATATGCTGATATATACCGTTATCGGCCAAGATATTATCGGTATCGGCCGATTATCGGTATGGCTAAAAAAGTCATATGGAATTGAACAGTATGCCCTGAGAGTTGGAATTATATTTTGCTAATTTGTATTTACATAGACCTTTTGATCCTCTTTCTGTTGAAAAAATCATTTAGTTGAAAATTTGATATTCAATAAGGGTGCTTCTGTCTTAAGTGGGCCAAACTGTATAAAATAAAGAACAAATATTTTATATTTTCAGGCTGATGATGACCACTAGGGATTAGAAACTGTTGCAAAACGACTTTCATTTCATTCAAGACTTGGAGTGAGACTTTGAGTTTGTTTTTTCCTCTACATAATTTTCATCATCTCCAATTTGATCTATCACCAGAGATTCAATAATAATAATTCAATGAGATGTATTTAGCCCATTTAGCATCTGTAGTTTTTAAATCTTTGTTTTTATTCTCTTTACATCTCTTACCATCTATAGGATTTATGGATTCAAGACTAGGTAATAAATTTCCTAGTTTTTTTTTCAACTCATCTATGCCCAGAAATTCAGCATCATGGAGAAACAACCTAGGAACAACTAACATTTTGTGACCAGGCTAAACCTTTCATATGCCAGTAAAATGTTATGAACTATCACCCCCTAAAACTCATTTATTCTTGCCTTTACAAACATCTCTACAGGAGTATACAGGGACCAGCAAAGTGTATGTATTCAAAAATGTGTTTAACCCAATCAATATACAGTGCTTTCATGAAGTACTGTATAAATTCACTTTTAGCAAAACTATCCATTTCTGAGGGAACTCCTGAAACAGGTTGATTTGGACAACCCTACATTTTCACTATCTTTAAAAATATGGGGAGAAGAAGGTTTATGAATTTTAAATAGAACACCCTATACATTTTCTCACCATTAGAAAGACCTAAATATGAAGTTTCCAAATATACTGATCTCACTCAATACTTCTATTGTAAATTATTAGATCAAGACAAACTGAGTGCTGATTTATCATATATGTAAAAAATTGCTGTTTTGCAGAAGATTGCACCAAAATATCAATGAAAAAAACTTGTGTTCTGCACTTCATTATCAAATTTTTATCAGGGGAAGAAGCCAAAATTCATGGTCATGTCATGTCTACATTTTTAGGTTTATAAAAATTTATTGATTGAGTAATCAGAATTAAACTAGTTTCAAGATTTCATAATGATTTTCTTGTTGAGTTATATGATTTCTTTATGAATTGGAGAATCAGCTGATGTGTTAGTAACTTTTTTCAGATGAAATGTGAAGAAAGAACCCCCATTGATACATAGTTCATGTGGTAAGGGTGTAAAACATTTGAAAATATTGAAAATTAGGAAATTATTGGTAATGAGCATAATAATTATCATAACAAACAAGAATATCAACTTCTTACATTTTTTTTATTTTAAATAACTGATTGTATATGTGTAGGTATGTAAGTACATATTTGTATGTATGTATGTACATTATGTAAGTTGATATGAATATTCATACTTATTCAGTCAGTATTTCCAAACTTGAAATACCTCCTAGTTAGTTCAATTAAGTCTCTAACCTCTGAACTCAGTATTTTAATCAACTTAAACAAAATGATGTACTGGTACTGGGTTTGGGCTACTGGGCAAGTGGTGATATAAAATGAATGAAATAGAAAGAAAGAAGTATAAAAACTGCAGTTTTTGGTCTAGCTTTGGATTAAATTTATTGTAACTTTCATCATGTAGTGAGAATGTAAATACAATATCAAAATTACTGATTCACATCATTCATGAAAAATATTATTTTCTGTTTTCCACAACATTTCAGATAGAATCCTGAATGTTCTCACAAAATATTTCAAGAGTAAAATTATCTAATTATTGACACTTGTTTTAAACCACCCAAAAAAAAAGGCCAACAATATGACCAAACACCAAAGATATAATTACCAATTATGTTTTTAGATATTTCTGCAAATTAGAATATTTTTATATGAATAACTGGTAGGTGTATTAGATTCATATTTCATATTGTACCAAATTTGTTCAAGCTAGGTACTTTCCAAAAATCAACAATATATAATATGTTTATACTTTACAGAGAATTAATTTGTGATTTTAAACAAATAACATTCAGAAAAACCCAAATGAATGAAGTCAGATCTATCATTAGCACATTTCTCTCTCCAAATAGATTAAAATGAATTACCTACTTCATAAATATTTTAATATATCACAAATTGCCTTGGCATTATCTCTAGAAAAGGGTGTCTCACAATGGAATTGCATTATGAGTGCAAATCAACATGAAATAAAATAAGGACAATAAAAAAATTAACCTTTGACAGATGTGTTTCAATAGCTTCAACAATAACTTTGGCATTTGGTGAATTTTCGTCAGCCAGCATAGTGAGTACATTTATGAGGGGTTTGCTGTTGAATGTCAGGTCAGCCAAGCTAGAAGTATATTCTGCTTTGATTTCCTCTGGAGTACTCATTTTCAGTACCCCACAAACGTTTCTTACTAACTAGAGATATCACAGTGAATCATCTGCCCTAAAATAAACATAATTTGAATAATCTAATTTTTAGATAACAGATATTTCATGATTGATTGATAATGTCATGATGAAAATAATGAAAATATGTTACTACAGACAGACACATAATAAAGGTAAAGTTTGGAGCATACCTTAAAGTAAAATATTATGATAGACATTTCAATCCAAGAAACGAAGGAAATTATGGAGTATTCATTTCCTATTTCCAATATATTTCCCAATATTTGTACACTAAACACGCTTCACACACCACTTCGTTCTACTTCTTCACTAAAACAAAATGGCGTAGACGGTCGACGTCAACCCGTCATGACGTCTCCATAGTCCATCTCACTTCGGCGCCTATGATTCGGCAAGAATTCAGATAACCATAACTTTCGCTATCGATACATTTTTAGACAAATCAGGATTCTAGCTATGAGGTTTGTTCGCTTTCTCAGGGATTGTTTCGTGTTCCACAGACCACGTGATCTAGTTTTATATAAACTAGTTTGGGTTTCGAAATCTCGAATACAAGATTCTCCCTATCTTGAATTATACAGGATGTGCCGTGGAAGTGTGGAACCCAAACATTCATAATTTTCATTGAAATAGCCGTGAAGTGATGAGTACTTTATCATCTGGAAGAGCATTCGTTATTTTAATATTAAAACTGAAAAGTTCGCCGAGCGATAAAAAAAACTATGTTGAATAACACGCAAATCTCTCATTTCATTACAGTTAGGTACTCACAAATCAGGTACAGGTATAACTACTGTTACATACTTACATGTAAAGTTTCAATTATTAAAATAACTAAAATCTCATATACTACAACGTGGTGTCTATATATTTCGACTGAAGTAATCCGATGTGTTGAAAAGGAATATTCTCAGACAATTTATGAACATGAAAAAATTGATATATAATATATAAATATATAAAAAGGAATACATTGAGAATTCGCATTCTCTATGTGATGAGAATATCAACTCAATTTATCATACCAATGACGGCTAAATGGACTGTCTGACGTCAGACAGTCCATTTAGCCGTCATTGATCATACACCCAGAAGTAAAGTATTCCGACATTGGATTACCCTGTTCCGAAAATCCCCTCTTCCTTGTTCTTCGGATTCATGAGTGTGACATGACAGATACCAAATGTGCATGAATCAGCGATCTACCATTTTCCCTATAGAATTGGCGGTCTAGATTAGTCTATAAAGGCTATATGACACCTGTTAAATTTGATGACAAATATGATAACAAAAATGATAACAAAAATATGTTCTATGTGCCATACAGTATAAATATTCATATTATCAAAATATTTAGAACCAGTTCTATATTTTTACACGAATGTTTGCAAATCTGCGCAAAATCAACTGTCGAAATTTTTGTTAACATATTTGTCATCAAATTTAACAGGTGTCATACAGCCTTAAGTCGGTGCGACACACCTCAGACACACCCCATCGTGGACACACCACAGGGTTTGTTTGGTCAATGTTTGGTCAATGCGGTGACTAACCTATTATTCTTTGGTCAATGTTTGGTCAATGCCGGCTAAATATCTAGACTGTCTGACGGGTCATACATAACTGTTCATTCACCCGTCAGACAGTCTAGATTTTTAGCCGTCGTTGGTTCGGTGTTTCAAGGGTAATGGCGAGTTCACATGCCAGCTTATGCCTACAGCAGAAAGCTTGAATAAAACGAGCGCACTGTTCACATGAGAAAGTTGGAAAAGTGACGGTGACTGCCACATATTTGGTTAAATTTCAGATGTACGTCCTCCAGAAACCACATTTATCACATTTTTAGAAGTGTTTTTCCAGTACTGTTTTCCACACTGCATAATATGATGATATATAGCACCAATATGTATTTATTTTGTCAATATTTGTGTGATCCTGTCATTCCTGTCAAACGATCTGGATTTTTTCCGCAAAAGTCGGACTGAAACCGACTTTCTAGTTTATGACCTCGACAGAGATATTCTGACGAATCGGCCAATGAGATGAGGATACGCTGTAAGTCAAAAGGCGAAAAGCCAGCATGTGAACGCGCCATTTATAGTTCAGTGGTAAGTTTGTTTGGATTGACTTTGACGTTTGACAGAATATTTTACGGTTTCAATTTTTCAAATCCAAATAAACAACATTTTTGGATATTGTTTTTTTTACATCTATTAAAATGAAAACTACAATATAGATTGCAGGATGTCTCTCAAAATTGCTGGAGATGTAGATCCAATAAAAAATGAAAGGACCGGAAACGTTCGAGAAGTAGGATCACAAGCAATTTGGAGCCTGTCTTCATGTAAACCAGGTGAACTACTGATCATTCAAGTCCCATCATTTAATTTTCATCCCTATTATAGGATTTGGTGTAGATCAACTAAGGGATGATAGAGCAGACACTTACTGGCAGTCTGATGGACAGCTCCCACACCTAGTTAATATTCAGTTCCAGAAGAAAACTACTATCAGTGATATTTACATCTACACAGATTACAAACTTGATGAGAGCTACACTCCTAGTAGAATATCAATTAGGGTAGGAACACACTTCAATGATATACAAGAAATAGAAGTTATCATGTTGACAGAACCATCAGGTAGGTGATAGAGAAGGAAAACATAAAAAATACTTAATTTATACATAATATATTACATATCTACATCAATTGATCAAAATATTCAGAGGAATTAAGGCATTCATATCAATAATATTTATTAAATATGAATTTATTTTTCCATTCAGGATGGGTTCACATACCAATTAAGGACATAAGTGACAAACCAATTAGGGTGTTCATGATACAGATAGCTGTTACTAGTAATCACCAAAATGGAAGGGATACTCACATGAGACAAATTAAAATCCACAGTCCCATTGAGAACCCAGGAATACCTATGGAGAATTTCCTCAACTTCTCCACAGTCGAATTTCAACAATATGCTACTATCAGATGAACCAAAGTGTTAGTTATTTTTTAATTTTAATGCCAATAATTATAATTTTTAGTTTATTTACTAGTTTTAAATGATATCCTTCCTTTACTCAATATTTACTTGAGATGAATACACTGGAGAAGTAATTGAACTGGGAGAAGACTTGAATTTTTACCATCTAATGATTGTAGGTAAAGAAAAATTATAAAAAAAAACAGTTGATAATAAATTATATGTATTCTTGATATTACTCTAAGTCTAAACAGTCATTACATTCACCAAGGTCCTAAGATCCACAAATAATCACAATTTTTGATGCTTCCTGATCAATATCTGTATTTAGTAGAATAATCTTTAGGTGATACTACTAAACCTCGCCCTTTTCTTGCACCTCTGTACACAGTTTCCACAATATCAATCATCTCTTGCTTGTCCTCCAGTGGCCAGTTAATCTTGTTATTATTACCTGTACCCAAATCAATCATAATATGCTTGTTCCTGAAGAAGAACATCACTGTACATGGATCATACAATTCATACCTAAAATTATGCAGAAAATGTACTCATATAATTGACATGTTCATGGAAAAATTGAGTAACTCACATTTTATTGAAATCAGGGACTTCAGTGATATCTACAAGATAAATAACAGCAAAATTCTTCACTTTTTCTGCTATACTATAAAGGACTTCATCCATTTTCATACAAGACGGATCCCAATCATGTCCAAATCTGATTACCTATAACAGAGTACCTTAACTTTAGCTGATATCAATACAAACATAAAATGTTATATTAAATGCTTCACAAGGACATTATATTCGATTTTACATGAATTGAGAATTACCACAACTCTATCTTCTTCAGAAAGAATAGCTTGATCAACTTGCCAGCCGTTGTGTAAATGTGCTAGCATATAAGACATTTTGGAAGGTTTATCAGTGCACTAGTATAATGAAAATCTTGCAAACTTTCTTGAATGGACTCTCAGCTCAATAACAATTCAATATAGGTTAGTTTCAGTTTCATACATTTTCTTCTTTATTTTAGTGCCACGTCCATAAAAAGAATGATTTTTCTCTTCTTCTACTTTTCTCCGCCTCTTATCCAGAGTTGGACTCTGGACATCTAGCCAGCAGGTGGGTACATATGATTTTCTGGGGGTAAATTTTACATATGTGCAGGAAATGCAGGAATTGAATGATTATCTAAATAAGCTTTCCAGATAATATACAATATACACTCTTTTTGTTCTTGAAAATAACAAGATGTATGCTTTACGGCTTTGTGTTGTGAGAAGATAGCTGCTAACATGCTGCTAACGAATAATGCAGAAGCTCCAGTGGCATACCGATACAATATGTCTATTATATCCTAATGTGAAACTGAAATAACGAATGTTTCAAAAGTAATCAAAACACTTGATTTTTGCGCCTGGTTTGCATATTTCAGATGAAAATGATTCATCTTCCATGTAGGTAGGAGTTGTAGGACAGTTTCTTTCGGCATTCTCCTTCAGAATAGTAATTTTCCTAACAAGTGCGGAAAGTGATTCTTTCCCGCACGTGACTGCCGTTGACACGATAACGACGCGAAGCGGAGTTCGGGCAAGCAGTCGAGTGCGGGAAAGACACTTTCCGCATGAGTTAGGAACAATATTTTTTCTACAAGCATAGGAAATTGATTGAATCGTTCAATTAATTATTCAAGCAAATAGGAACAACTAACAAGAGATATATATTCTCTATCTATTAATTATTGGTAATAGCTATTGTGAACTTACAGTTTGACGCATTATGTTGGTTCATTGCGGAAGCCAGCAGGCCCATTAGGAGTTTGGTCTCTAGGTTCCAGACACTTCTATGGAATGAGCCAAAAATACCTATTCTTTATTCGGTTTTTTCATTTCTTTATTGTTGCACCATTCAATTAAACGCGTGTATAGCTTCTCATAACTTTCTTAAGACTTCGTTGGTGATATTAACGCATCTGTATCAAATCCCTATAGCTAGAAGTTTTTGATCACATTGTGGCATTTCCACTGAATCGAAAATTCGACAATTTCAAACTTATTTGAGGTTTGATTGGCATGACAAATTGACGTTTCCCGTCAGATCAATCCAAATGTATAGGGGGATTTTTATAATAATCCATTTTTATTTCTCAATATTTCTTAATTTTTACAATAGATAGTGCAATTTGATGGATGATTCTGAACATACATACTTAATACTGCAACAAACAATCTTAAACTTTTATATTCCATCACCAACCACTTATATTACTAGCGATTATATCATATCTTTGTTTTCCCGCACTAGTGTGGAAAAATTTTCCCGTACTGTTGCGGGAAAATGATACTTCCCAAACTAAATTGCGTGCGGGTATAGGGTGAATCACGCACGCTTGTAGAAAAATATATTTTACCGTGACGTCATAATAAAGTTATTGTGACGTCTTCATAAAGTTAACCTGTTTGTCTGGTCATTTTGAGTTTGAGTTGCTGGGCTGGCAACCTAGTTCCTTCTGGTTTTGCCAGAAATATGATAGGCGCTTTTGATTTTTGTTAGAGACATTTTTCACAGAGGTTATAGGTACTGGGACCTTCATTCAATGAATGAATTGAAAGAGTTGTTTCTTGATAAATATATTTTCATTTATTCACATCAACCATTTATATTACTTGTGCTTTCCTCATTTGCACCTGATACTAACTGCACCAATTCCCTGGACTCGAAAGTGTGTTTAACTGCAACAAAAAATGGATTAATGACCAAACCCTTGTCAACTTATTGTAATTGGCTTATAAATCAACCTGCCCTAACAAAATATACAGTGTCCGTCTGAAGTCTTTTACCCTCTATACAGTGTGTCCCACTTACCATGCTAACCATGGGTATCTTTTTAACGGTGAGAGAAAAAAAAACCGTGAGAGACTGAAAAGGATGTTAGCCAGCTCTCTTGAGCGAACCACATCAGTCATTGAAAACACTTGGGGTTGGCAAAAAGGTCCCATTGGGGACTAGTTGCTGACGTGGAAACGTCCCCCACCAGTACCAGTACCAGTAACGGTGAGAGATACGAGGTCGGTTAAATGACACCAAATGTGGAGTTTGTCAAGGCCAACTATAATGTGAAAAAATATTATGATAAAATCTATTCGTTTTTGTTTTATACGCAAAAATTAGATTTTGATCATCTTCATGTCTCCTCCGTAACTTTTTTATTCATAAAAATATTCAAATAGGCATTTCACATTCTCATGGCAGTTTTTCAAAGTGATTTAGAAAAAAATATGAAAATTATACCAACTCTTCTAGAATTAGAGATATCAGCACCAACTTTGGTTTTTCAAATGTAGGTCATTGCTCACTATGACTTAGTTACAAATAACTTTTTTTTCTCTTACAGATGATATGTCACAGTAATATTTGTGTTGATAACAACGAATTTATCGTCATTTATACAAAAACAAAAAGTTATTTGGAAGCCGTCATCTTGAATTTATAAATGCTAACAAAAAAATCATGATCTCCGACCTCAAAAACCCCCACTTACCAATTTTGAATGGAATCGGACCAAATCTTGACCGCCATCTTGGAGCAGCCATTTTTTTTAATTTCAACAAAAATTCCATGACTCCGATTAACTTGAAATTTGGCAGGTGTTCATAATTTCGGTGACAAAACATAATGGAATTTTTGTTGAAATTTAAAAAAATGGCTGCTCCAAGATAGCGGATAAGATTTGGTCCGATTCCATTCAAAATTGGTAAGTGGGGGTTTTTGAGGTCGGAGATCATGATTTTTTTTAAATTCATAAATTCAAGATGGCGGCTTCCAAATAATTTTTTGTTTTTGTATAAATGACGATAACTCCGTTGTTATCAACACAAAACTATTACTGCGACATATCATCTGTAAGAGAAAAAAAAGTTATTTGTAACTAAGTCATAGTTAGCTATGACCTAAATTTGAAAAACTTAAGTTGGTGCTGATATCTCAAATTCTAGAAGAGTTGGTATAAATTTCATATCTCTTTCAAAATCACTTCGAAAAACTGCCATGAGAATGTGAAATTCCTATTTGAATATTTTCATAAATAAAGAAGTTACAGAGGAGACATGAAAATGATCAAAATCTGTTTTTTGCATATAAAACAAAAACGAATAGATTTTATCAAAATATTTTTTCACATTATAGTTGGCCTTGACAAACTCCACATTTGGTGTCATTTAACCGACCTCGTATCTCTCACCGTTAAAAAGATACCCATGGTGAGCATGGTAAGTGGGACACACTATGTAATGATTTTTGAACTACACCTGGTATATCGCAATGAAATTTAGAGCGCAAAAATAGGAGATGAAAACCAACTTTTTTTTCGAAAAAATGCCAGCTTTCTTTCGAAATTGTGGCTGAGCACCATCTCGAATTATTCTTTTCAAATGAATTAATAAATTCATTCCTAAATTATTTTTGAAATATTGATGTTTAGAAAGTTTTTTTCATCTCTTGGAGCGCACGAGAGGAGATTCCTATCATTTTCATTTTCAGAAGAGGAATAGGTGTTGGATTTTTTTTTCGAATTTTTGAAGGTTAGAACTTCTTGGAGTTATTGGAAATACTTCCATTGGCAAAATTTGAGATGGCAAAGTATTCCAAAGCATTGCTGTCATTTTCGTGATTTCTATCCCAACCATCAACTCGAATGTTTCTTATTAGTTAAAACTGTTAAAGAGACGAGCAGATTTCGAAAATGGGACAATACATGGGGTGTTCCATTACAATATACGGGGTGTTCCATTTGAAAAAATAATTTCAAATGGCGCTTATCCGCCATGTCAAAACTTCAAGCTGTGTCGAAATAAGTGAACGTGGAACAGACTTTAGACAGACACTGTATGTATGTACAAAAGCACACCCCAATACTTACCAACGTCATCATTTTGCAGATCGTAAACTGTGAAATTATTCGATTTTTTGTCCCCACCCAGTGTTATCACGAAGGGAGAATCAGGACAAAGTTCCAGACAGTGAATATTGCCCATCTTGAATTCTCGTTCGTTCACCAATTTCGGAGGACTATCGAGCGTGAAATCCCACGTTTTCACCATTTCGTCAGGGGAGGCCGTTAATAACAGACCCGGACACTGGCTACTTATCGTCAAACCGGTGACTTCTTTGGAATGTGCTTCTACTGACCATAGTTGGCCTAATCAAAGAATAACATAGTATATTATTATTATTAATTTTTTTTTCATCTCTTGAAGTGCACGAAAGGGAATCCCTATAATTTAATAGAAAGCCCAGTCGGTCGGTCACACAAATCAACTATATTAAAATTGAAACGTAACTAGTTTCGGCCCTCGGTCATCATCGGGTGGCGGAAATTTGATCGAAAGACAAATGAACATTTGATAGAAGTCTTTTGATCGAAAGTGTTTTTGATAGAAATGCATTTGATCGAATCAGAATCAGAATCAGTTTATTCATCACAAAAACATACAAATAAATTCAATCAATACAGACCAAAAACAAATGCATATTTATCGGACTGGTCAAAAAAAACATGAGGCATAAATACACTTTAAAATGAACACGTTGAATGCCACGTATGGCTGGAGTAGGAGGCTCTAAGAAACCAAGGCTAGTTTTGAGTAAATTATCATTTCTTAAAGCGTAATTTGTGAATATATGGTATTGCTAATTCATGCTGACGTTTTCAAGATCACCAGCAGCTGTCCAATTTACTGCACAGCGGGCTATATTTGGGGTTTCAGCATGTATAGCCCGCCGTCCAGTAAATTGGACATACACGTATCAAGAAAAAAAAACAGAACTAAGTGCATTACTCAATTATTTGCTTTATTGCATGCAAAAGAATCAAAAATAGAAATGAATCTAGATATGAGAAGCCTAAATGGACGATGCATGCCAATTTTTGAAGCAAGGATAGACACGAAGACCAGGTTTTTCCGGGCAAACAGGGCAAAAATATCTAGTTTTCTTTTTTGCCTTCATCTTCGAGCATTGGCTGCATCTTTTCATTGCGGAGTTTTCTTTCTCTGTGGCTGGATTTGACTCCAAAAAATGATATTTGTTTGTTTTTGTTGTTTCGGCTTGAGGAGTTTCAACAGAAGTTTTTATTTGCTGATCTATAAGCTTCATGATTACTTTTTCACGGAAGTCCAAAAGTCTGATATTTTCTTTCTGATGAAGATTATAAATGTAACAAGCACATACACAAATCCACCAAATGGAAAAAAATGCGGTACCACCTAAAGGTTTTTCTTGGAGTGGAATAATACATCATTTGGTCGGAGCGGTCAATACCTGACATGTGTTAATTATAATCAATAACACATGCAGGTTTGATCTTCTTATTATTAGCTCTCTTTCTTGAATTTCAACCATCGAATGTTTATGCAAAGTACTTATCATTCGGACATTTCTTTCATCTTTCCAGTTGGTAAGCAAAACTGGCCCCTTCCTTTTCCATAAAACTTCACCTTTTTTTAGCCTGCATGTTGCCAGATTCATTCTAATATTTTAATCCCAATTGCTCAAAAGATAAACTATATCCCGTACTATACATATTAAACCAACTCCGTGGCCCGACGACAAAAGATAGAGAATATACCCGCTGTTCAAACGCGTCCAGTTAAGTGGACGCGGTATACGTGTAAAGTTCCCGTATGTTCAGTATACTGGACAATGGCATTCAACGTGTTAATATTAAAATACACTTTAAATTACAACAGTTGAAGTAGTTTTAAAAATTGAGAAACTCCTCCACATTATAAAAAATATGTTCGGTTAATAAATGTTGAGTTTGTTTCTGAAAATACATTTGATTGGAAAAATATTCGATAGAAAATACACTTGATAGAAACAGCATTTGATAGAAAATTCAACGGGGCTACGCTCAAGTTAGGTCGGTACGTTCCTGAAGATATGATCCTTCTTCATATATTTGAGAAGAAGGAGCTAGATGGAAATCGAAGCTCATGAATTTATTGATACCACAAACTTCTAGCTCCTTCTTCTCAAATATATGAGGAAGGATCATATCTTCACAAACGAACTGACCCAACTTGAGCGTAGCCCCGTTGAATTTTCTATCAAATGCTGTTTCTATCAAGTGTATTTTCTATCAAATATTTTTTCTATCAATTGTATTTTCTATCAAGTGTATTTTCGGTGAAAAGTACTTTCTATTTTTTGATTTTCGATCAAAAGCCTTCTATTAAATGTTTTTCTATCATTTGTCTTTCGATCAAATTTCCGCCACCCGTCATCATCAGACTTTGAGAAAAGATGTAAAAAGTACCTCAATAGCACATGTTGAACTAAGCACAAATAAATTGAAAAATCAATATTGAAATAATTACACGGAGTTTCGAATTTTGAGAAAGTCCAGAAGAACAATGCTATAATTTGGTTCAACATAGGGCCGAAAGTAATAGTAAATTGGTGTGGTCTAACCTAACCTAAATGATTTGGGCGTTTTATTATGATTAACTTTAGAAGATTATACAGAGTGAGTCATAACTATTAGGACATAGGCTAAGGGCAGACCTAGGGTCCCTTGACGGAAATTGACGTTAAAGTCATCTTAACAGGGTACGGACAGATCATAGCTGCATTCTTTTTTAATGATCTAGAGACTTGAGTTTTGTCTACTGGCATTCCTGACATTGCTGTCACGTCACATCCATGGGCGCTACAGAAAATCATTCAAAATTTTAATAACAGGTATGTACAGGGTATTTACTTGTTGAGGAAGATCATATGGCGAACGAGTTTTGTAATTATGATTCGATCCTATTCAAAATTTAAAGGTATCTGGGGTTTTCCGGGGTTGTAGATAATGATGGTTTCGTCAAACTTGGAAAATTCAAGATGACGGATCCAATACATAGCTAAAGAAATTTCTTCTTATTATCTGATTCTTTTTAGGATTGGTACCTGGGGGATTATTCTGGGTCAAACTTTATGATTTTCTGTCGAAATTGGGAAATTCAAGATAACAGATCCAATATGGCGAACGGATTTCGTAATTATGATCCGATTCTATTCAAAAATCAAAATTGGTATCCGGGGATTTCCAAGGTCGAGGATTATAATTATCTCGTCATAATTGGGATATTCAAGATGGCGGATCCAATATGGTGGAAAAGTTTTGTAATGAAGATTCGATTCTATTCAAAATTGGTATCTGGGGGTTTTCTTTCAAGATGACGAATCCAATATGGCGAAAGACATTAGTTTATATAATCATTACTCTACCACAAATAGAAAATATGTAGGATGCAAGAGTGAAATTAATATGCAATAAATTATTCGAAAATGACTTTTTATTTAAGAGAGACAGAAAAATCATATGTATAACATGGGGATAAAGTATATTCTATCCTTTATTTTCCTGCACATTGTACGTATTACTTGTTATCAGCCTACTTTTCGTCCTAGACGAAGTTTTATACATAGTGTGATATTAGTCACTCCATAAATTCTTCTCCGAGTTTGATTTCTGAAAATATATTTAGCACACGTAACATGAGTACAGTAGTTTAGATATCCACATCATCAAGGTTTCCACCATTTCTCAATCATAAGGCTCAGTTCATTCAGCTCATAGATAAACTACTGTTCAGCTTGAAATCAGAATGCATTCAGTCAATTCAGTCAACCCTGTTATATAGTCTAAGAACAGTCTCTTTTGGTGAAATATATTAAGCTTTCAATACAATTTATATGTTCCCTATCTCGCAAAGATTATGCTGGAGTAGTAAACTCTAAAACTAGACGATTGTTCATCTATATCTTACACTACACTGTTTTATCACTAACCAAACCGATTTTTTAACGCCTCGACACGTGTTTCGAGACGTTAAAAAATCGGTTTGGTTAGTGGTAAAACAGTGTAGTGTATTATCGTGTCAAAGGTTCTAGTCTTCGATATATCATCTATATCTTGGTATAGTTGAATCAGGAATTCCATATGGAACTTACGTATGATACGCCAGTGACCTCAATATAACCTAAAAAACAACGAATGTCAAAATCTAGTGTTTATCCCCAGAATTGAATAAGGATGGAACTATATAACTGTTTCACAAACACTTTAGAGTGAGAGGAGACGAGGATCTGTCCGTACCCTGTTAAGATGACTTCAGCGTCAATTTCTATCAAGGGACCCTAGGCAGACCTAAACATGGTGATAGGACCAAATATGTCTTGATAAAATATTGCTGTGGAGATAGATATAGGGCGTTTCAATCGAGAAAGTATTGACTATAAACCCGCACCAAAATTTATTGACTGACAAGAAATTTACCAGCAACAATTATTATTTTCCTACCACCGAAGAAAAGAACTTCAACGCCCTGTACCTTTTTCTACAGCAATATTTTATTGAGGCGTATTTGCATGGTCTTATTGCTATATTTTGGTCCAAACAAACCCGCCCTTAGCCCATGTCCCACTTGTTATGACTCACCCTGTATAAGTTTTTGGTGATACTTTCATTTGGAAAAGAATTCCAAAGCTTTTCCATTCTATAGTTTGATGCGATATTACTTTGTCGCAAGTGTTTTTTTGGAGTAATAAGAGCTTGAATAGAAAGTATATGTCTTGGAGCCGCTTTACAGTTTCCAATTATTTGTCATTCAATGCATTTGATTGCTGCTATACATATTTCCGGCTATAATAATATGTATATGCAGGTTATTTTATACTGAATCGGAATGACCGGCTTGCTATTTCTATTTGTCGAAAACTTTTGTGTTTTGCTTCTCAAAGTACTGAGTTGGGTAGTAGGAACTAGAGTCCCTAAATGTACTTGACACTGCCGTTTTGACATTTTTTGTATATTAGAGTACGGACACTATATAGACAAGCAGTGACAATCACACATATCCACAAACGATTTTGAAGCAAATCATATGTTTTGCCAGACAAGGACAAGAATATGTTTTTCACTTAGATAAAGGATCCTCGCATCTTCCATCCTCCACAAGTCCTGGGAAGAGTACATCCATATTTCTTTATCTGTCTTTAATTTTTGAAATTTATGTCATGTACGTCCGTGTACTGTCAGTTCCCGCTTTTTCAATCAATTCATTTGTGGTTATGTCTGATTGTCAATGCTTGTCATAGTGTCCGTTTTAATATACAAAAAAACGTCGAAACAGCTGTGTCAAGTACATTTAGGAACTCTAGTAGAGACCATGAGATCATAAAATCATAAAATATTGAAACCCCATCATTCCACCACTACAGAATTGCACCCGCAATAAGAATAGGTCCGGACCCATTTCCTGCAATGCAATGAAAAATTGCTACAGCTGTTGTCCAAAATGACACTGGCGCTGAAATTTTTTCTATCAATTTATACAGTTCAAGTCAGAATATCGCTCAATAAAAATAATCAATGATATGTGGCTGATGATCACACTGAATATATAATGATTCAATTTGACTGATCCTCTTCATAGAATGTTTGGCAGGAAACATATGAATGTTGCCAAGTCAAAAATGATTATCCAAAGGAAGAAGGAAAGCTCAAAGTCATCTCCACTACTTTATTAATGATGTAAATCAATCAAAGGGACTTGTTTCGGACTTATGAAAGTCCATCTTCAGCCGTATTTTAGAAGTTACAAGCCAAAATTGACTGGTTTTATATAACAATATGTATATTTTCACATGCCTTTGCTTGTAGTAACTTCTAAAATACGACTGAAGATGGACTTTTATAAGTGCGAAACATGTCCCTTTGATTGATTTACATCATTAATGAAATAGTGGAGATGACTTTGAGCTTTCCTTCTTCGTTTTGAAAAATTCCACTCCACTTTGAGCAAACATGGACTTCTACCAGAGATAAAAAATGATTATTATTCATTTTATTAATCAAATAAACTATGGGCTACTTGCTGCCTGGCCTTGGTACATTGTTTTCAAGAACCCAAATACCCTCATCATAATACACTTCTAGGGATGGCTAGCCGCCATATTGGAGACGCCATCTTGATTCTTTTAACAAAGGTGCCAAATTCAACTGTTAACAAGAACTAAGCAAAATGTCAATTCTAAAGTTCAGAAACTTCACAAACTAAGTAATAGGCCTACCCCAGAAATGCTAGATGGCGAGAAAACCGCTAAAATTTGCTATTTTGTTACCTCACTGAATGTACCAACCTTTTCTGCAATCGAAACATTGGATAGTGCCTTTGCTGGTACCAGCTACAAACACAAAGGGTTCCAGAGGACACCACACCAGTCTCTCAGCTTCCCCATCCAGAGACCAAGTCTGGTGAGTATCGGGATTTCTGCAATCGAATATTCTTGCTGTACTATCACATCCACCTAGAAGATATTATTATGGAAGATACGACGATGGATGGATGGAGATCTTGTTTTATTCAGACTGTTGCTTTTGATTTCAATATTTTACAAAATATTTGTTCAATGTCTTGAAATTAAAAAAAGTCACAGTGGATAGGTACTCAATCTTGGAGTGCATCTGTGAATTCTATAAAAACTCCCGATTATTGACCCTAACAAGATCCACCTCCATGTAAAATGTTAGAGCCAAATTTGGCCTTGGTTGTTAGCTGGTTCGTAGGCGCCACAAAATATGGTCAATTTATTTATTTATTTATTTATTTCAACGGTTACACCATTTTTATAAAAAAAAATTACAACAAAAATATGAATAATAATAGTAGGAGCAATGAAAATTACACTCATAGAAATGTAGCACTTATTATATTAATCAGGTATTCCTAATTGTTTTCACAACATTAGTTTTGAATTTACCTAGACTGCCACAGAATAGGTCACAATGATTTTGAAGAACGACATAATTCCTTTGTAGCCTTGAAATAGGGTTATTGTTGCCATAATTCGTTGAGTGAAAAGTCAAGGAAAATAAAGGAGGATTTCTTGTTCTGGTCAATGTATTAAATCTAATCAAACTAAGCAGATCTGGAGAATTAATAAGGCCATTGACCAATTTATATAGGAAACACATATCCAACACTAATCTACGATTTTCTAAAGTTAGTAGATTAAGCTCCATTAAGATATCTGGGTAGTTTATATGAGCAACATGATAACTCTTGCGATATGAATATGTTCTCAGGAACCTTTTCTGAATTCGCTCTAAACTATCAATATGTATTTGATAAAAAGGCCTCCAAATGATGGAACCATACTCAAGTGAAGGTCTAACCAGATGGCAATAAAGTGAACTAAGTGTTTCAGGAGAGAATTGTTTACTGTTCCTAGTAATAAAACCTAAGTTCCTTGATGCAGTGTTCACTACCTTAGTAATATGACTTCTAAAAGTTAGTTTAATATCGAATATTATGCCTAAGTCCTTTATCTCATTGACTCTCTTCAATACAGAGTTATTTATTCTATAAGCGTTTTCAATATAATTATGACCCATTGAGAAAGTAATACAAAAACACTTTGAAATATTGAGGTCCAAGTAATTAACTCTAGACCAGACATGGAAGTTATTCAAATCAGATTGCAGCAGATCAATATCCATATGATGCTGAATTTCTTTATATATTTTGAAGTCATCAGCATATAATGTAAAAACAGAGTGAAAAATATATTTGCTAATATCGTTGACAAACAAATTGAAAAGTAACGGTCCACAATGAGAGCCTTGAGGAACTCCTGACAGTACTGGAATTACGGTAGATAAAAAACTTTTGATCCTCACCTGCTGTTGACGACCAACTAAGAAACTTTCAATCCATGCTACCAAACCAAGATTTATACCCATATCACTAAGTTTTGCTATTAATAAAGTATGACTCACCCTGTCAAACGCCTTTGAAAAATCGGTATAGATACTATCAACTTGGGTCAATACTCTCGGTATCTCCTCGAGTCCATCTATCTGCAAGTTGCTGAACTATCTTTTTTCCGAGTTGTGTAATGTTAACGTAATGTTAAGCTGATGTTGAGCTATGAAGTCAGTCAATGTCAAATTAATGTTGATTTAGAATAGAGTTCATGTCGATTCAATGTTAGGTTAGTGCTAGATTAATGTGAAGTTGTGTTTATTTATTGTTGATTTAATGAAAAAAAAAAAAAATGTTAATTTGAGGTTGAGGTAATGTTAATTTAATGGAGAATTAATGTTAATTCAATGATAATTTACTGTTGACTTGTTAGTGTAAAGTCAATGTAGAGTTAATGTCAAACTGATGTTAAGTTCATGTTGATAGTTGATGTTAAGTTACTGTCAATGTTATGCTTACTCAATGACAATTTTAATGTTGTTAATATTGATTTAATATTGGAGTTGATGATAATTCAATGTTAATTTGGCATAATTTAAAGTTCAGTTGATGTTGATAAGTTGATATTAAAGTTAAATTAAATCGGAATAATAATTATAATAATATCATCTCCATGTGATCGAATATGATTAAGAGCATGATACCTATTCAGGTCTCATGAACACTTATGTTGGATATAATTTATGCATTTGTTGTCGTAGGAAAAATATTGTGAAAAACTCGTTGGGTAGAAAATTTCCTGTACTCTTTTCGTTTTCGCTCTGCGGTTCAAACGTCCACTCCCGCGAAATATGCCACTTTCTACACTAGTTAGGTAATATACTAGAGTTTGTAGAATATCCAATGCCCATTCAGTCGCCGTTTACCTACCTGCCAGTAGAGTTTGAGCTTCTAGCCTATGCCATTCGAGGCATTGAACTTTGTCGGCGAAAGCTTTCACAGTCGTGTTGGGCGTCTTGGTTTCGATGTCCCACAAAAGTATGCTCTGATCGACTGACCCGCTCGCCATCACATGCTCGAAAATTTTGTTCCAAGCCAATGCCAATACTGCATCAGTGTGTCCTAGAACGTGGAAGATATGGTGGAATGGTTAATCTTTCCAGTATCGTGAAATTGAACCTTTTTTTCGCCATAATGTTATCAAAGGACGTCAAAAACGTTTTCCCGACCACATATTCATCGGCAATGTCGAACAAATTAATTATTTAATATTGAAGATACCAGTGAATTCAAATGCTACTGAGCTGTGACGTCAGTGTCTCCTTGCGATTCGATTGGTTGACATTTGTGACGGCTGGGAAGCACGCCACTGTTGGTAGCTCTATATAAAATTCTTCTGATTACTTTCAATTTACCCAGAACTGTGAAATGTAAGTTTCAAGATTAGCTAGGATGAAATATGATGTAGGCATCTAACAATAAGACGCTTATTTTCACATGGTTTCCCATTCTGCTCAGTTTGTTTGAGTTATGATGTTACGATTTCGTTGACTTATTGTCATCAAATTGATCAATATTACTTCATCTCAAGTACTCACTCCTGAAAAATATAATTGCTAATGTGTCAACCAGGTCTACAAGAGACAGAGATGAAGCTACTGGAGCTAACACAATGTTGAATTTGAAATACCTCAATCTCCGCATAACTTCACTATTCTCAATTCTCAATATTATTGACAAGAATGCAAAGATGCTTGTATAGAAAGTGAAGTGAGCATAGGTGTAAGTAGGTAGATAGGTGTAAGTAGGTAGATAGGTGTAAGTAGGTACCTAGGTATGAGTACCCTAACTTGAAAGTACTTTGCTGGAAGAAATTCAAAACTGAAAGTCATGAAAATTCACTTATAATTTTAAATAGAAATCGATCATCTATTTAATTATGCAGTGCAATTGTTCAGTCCTACGAATTTTTAGGTAGGTAGATATCAGTTATCTAACAGCAGTATCATATGCTGAATTTTGAGTAGAGAAATGAATGTTTTCTTATCTCTTGGAGCGTGAGAAAGGAAATTCCTATAATGTTTGTGGAACATCGTGCGTGGGAGGGTAGGGAGAAGAGGTAGGTGGAATATTTTTTGAAATATTGGAGGTTATAAGTTCTATATCCATGGGTTGCGTGCAAGAACTGTCAGATGACCGACCCTGGGGGTGAAACATTGAAACACAACCTCACCTTTCTTATTTGTTTACAAATTATTATTGAAATTTTTCATTAATTCGCGCATGCCATCACACTGTGCTGTACATTGCATAAGAAATGCAGGGAGAGACGAAGGAATCCGGTTGGTACATGATTTAAAAGTAAGTACCTACTACATATAGTCACTCACATATATAATTTTCATTTTGAAATTTGGTAGTTTATCAGATCTCTCATCCTTCAGCAATAGTGTCACAAACTGTAGGCGGGGGTTGCCTAAGTTGTGTTCTTGATCCATTAGAGAATGAAATTTAAATGTGATAATGATAAATAATACTCAGAAGGTTTTCAAACAAAGCATGTACACACATTTATTCTTGGCTTCATTGAAAAACAATTAATAAAAAAACTTAACTTACCCTATATGTAAAAATGATCTAATAATGATGTGAGGAAGGGCATCTTCTGTTCTGCCTGAACACCGAAGATTCGGGCACAGTGGCAACTTTACAAACTTACAATCGATATAATTCAGACTTTCCTAACTCGTGTTCATCAAAATTAATACCGAGCTAGAACTCGAACTGGCAGTCGAACTGTCGAACCCGCTTCCCTACGACTTTTACATAGTTGTCTATATTTTCGGAAACGTGACAGTGAGGCAATCAGGTCGATTGTCCAGGTTCGTTGAAGTCAATGTCACGCCTGTGTTTATGTTCAACTACTATGGAAAAAGTTCGTTCTTGATTCGAAAATTTTGGAATTACTTAATAAAACAAAGACGTGGCCGTTCAATTACTTCAAACCCTTTATGAATTTAAATGGAATTTAAGAAAATAACCCTATTCGTGACAATAGGAGCTGATAGAAATACTCCTGAAATTTCTAAAAGAACGCAAGATTGGATTCATGCAATCAAACGGGAGGACTGGTCTGACATACTGACGAAATATGATCGTGTGATTTGTAGACATTTTCAATCTATTAGTAGTATTAGCTTCTATTGCAGAAGTGGCAGAAGGCATTTTAATTACCTGAAAAATCATATTCCTTCGTCTCTCGCTGCATTTTTTGTGCATTGTACAACAGCACAATGAGAAGGCATGCTGGAATTAATGAATAGCGCAAAAAACACGATTCGTATGCCAAAATATTGTGAAAAACTATTTCAATTCTTTGATTCCTCTGTGAACAAATAAAAAAAGTGAGGTTGTGTTTCAATGTTTTACAGAAAAGTGAGGTTGTGTTTCAATGTTTTACCTCCAGGGTCGGTCATCGTGCACGCGACCTATAGTTTTTGTTCAAATTTTCACTTTCATTGTGATTTCTATTGGCACTTGGAGGTGAGGGCATGACCAAACCAAATTACTCGCGCACTGACGTCACACGTTTCGCGGCCATGTCTGATCGTTTGAATTGACTTGTTTATTTTGGCGTTTTCATTATTTATTACACAATGAGATTAATTGATGATGAAAAAAATCTAAAACTTATTTTGAGGTATTCCAGAGCCATATATTTCCAGATATATTTTTTCTCAGAATGACTGGAAAGGCCTATTCCATATTCGACAAGGCAAATAGTATCATTCAAAATTTCTGTTCTGAATGATACTATATACATCCATATTTTTATCTGAAAGATAATGCAAATTCTCAACTTCAGGAGATTTTATTTTTGAATTCTATTGTGTGTGTTCAATAGATGTAATTCAATGTTTGTTGTTGTATATAGCCAGGAAAGTAGTCGTTTTCTGTTGAATATACCGAGAAAGAATTAATATTTTTATCAGATAGAGATTGCAAATTCTCATTGCATTTCTTTATATTATTATGTATCCATTTTTTTTCATGTACATAATATATCGGAGAATAATCCTTTTCAATAAGTTTCTATATATTCCTCAATTACCTATACTTTCTCTATTCTTCTTTCTGCTGGCAGACTTTCCAAGCGTGAAAGAGGGTTCCATTACATTTATCAAGTCAATATCCCACACCTCTATAATCGGCGACATTGATCCCACCGCACAGTAATTGCCTTTAGGCATGTTTGGCTCAAAGTTCAACCATTCCAAACACAGAGGAAATGAAGGTAAAAGAAAGTCGTGGTGGACATATAATGAACCTTCATCCTCATTGTAAACTGAAAAACAAAAAAATATTGCCCATAACAAAGTACCCATCCAGCAACTTCACATTTTATAAGCAGTTCAACAAATCATAAGAAGTCTATGAAGAAACTAGACAGGACAGGTTGCCTCATTACTATTCAAGGTTACATAAATTACGTCATCGTGACTGCCAGCTGCATTTGAAATGAACTTGTTATAAATATGCGAGGGGTAAACCGCGGTCAAAATTGTGTACAGCAAAATTCATTGTAGTAGTAGTATAAGTACTTCGTTGGTATGTATATATGTACATGCCAACTGGCCATCGACCTTAAGAAAATGTTTTTCAGCCCATGTGCGTTCTGTGTAGACTTCCTTACTAACTCCCTACGCCACCTTAGGAGCAGCACAATTTATTGGAATGCAACAGCGAATCATCTCCCGCCGAGGCTACGAAAATAAGAATTCATAACTCGTCTTATAAATAAAAATTCTATGCTATGCCGGGGATTCGAACCTAGCAATCTGTTCTGATTACAAGTCGAGCACCTCAACCACTGCTATTCTGCCGTCACCAAAAAATTCCACTGTCGGACTGGTTTCTGGCTAATAAAATGGCTCTCAAATATTCTAAATCGTTTAACAATCTATTTAAATTATATAAAGATGTTGACGATGTGACCATACAACATACAACTCAATGAAAATTCTATTGATTGTGTGTACTCAACCAAATTTCTGGGAATAACTATTGACAACAAACTAAATTGGCTAGATCACATCACTGCACTTCAAGCTGAATTGAGCAGGTCAATTTTTGCGCTACGCACAGTTAAGAGGAATGCAAACCTGGCAACAGCAAAACTGGTCTATTTTGCATACTTCCATAGTGTATGGCATAGAATTTTGGGGCACATGTACATATGCAACAGACGTATTCGGAACCCAGAAGAGAGCTATTCGGGTATTATTCGGTTTGAGTCTTAGAGACTTTTGCAGGACATGTTTCAAAAGCCACAAAATATGCACTCTAACAAATACTAACATATTCAAAACAAGTATGCTGTGCACAAAAAAACGATCAATATTGACATTACCATCAGACAAACACACATATCCAATAAGAAAACAAGAGTATATTTCGCCAAACTATAGATTGAACAGAACTAGAAATGGAATAAATGAAATAAAAGTATACAGCCACCTACCTTTCAGTATAAAATCTTTGAGCAATTCGCGTTTCAAAAACCAGTTGAAAAAATTATTGCATCATGTTTTTTATAATCCAGAGGAATTTTTTTCTCAACATTTAGAATGAAATCATATTATTGTTAACATCATTGTGCACCGCACCATTCACTTTCTCAATGCTGTATATGCTGTATAGAATTCAAATATTATTATATGTATTGATGTAATTGCGATTCTGTGAGAAATAAATCTAATCTAATCAATCAGTTGTATGTAGACCAGAATTTGAGCCGGAATTATACCACACTTCACTCAAGGGATTTCAGGGAATTTCAAGCAATTCCAAGGGCATCCAAGGAAATCCAAAGGGATTCAAGGGATTCCATGACGATTCAAGAAAATCTAAGGAATGGCAAGTAAATCTAAGGAATGGCAAGTAAATCCAAGAAATTATACCACACCACCCATGGAATTCCAGCAAATTCCAAGGAAATCACAGGAAATCCGAGGAATTCCAGTTGTCTGTACACCAGAATTTCACCACATGTTACCCCTCGTGAGTATATTGCACAGCACCATCAGGATAACAAAAATGAATTAATTTTTTTCACGCCTTGAAAACTTACCATATACTTCTAGAATACTAGCATCCCCTTCCACATGTCCTACCAATATCAAGTTATCAGTTGGCTTGATAAGATCATCCTCTTTTTCAGAATCATCTGATTCTGAAAAGTTGTCTTCTGCTTCATTGGGCAACTCTGCCAATGAGCCAATTCCCAAAGCATGTGCAGTGTCATCTCCATCTGAATTTCAAAAAAAGGTGTATAATATAAACTCTAAAAACTACTATTCTTTTTTGTTTCAACTTTTAATCAGCACCATTTTTATCAGGTAACCTTTCACTCAGAGATATCCATACATTCTGAATTGACTAGGCCGTTAATTGATAGAGTTCCATATAGTAAATGTAAAAAAATTATTTCTGTAGTAGTTTTTTTTTATCGCTTGGAGCGCACAAAAGGGAATCCCTATAATGTTCAAAGAACATCGTGCGTTCCTAGGGAGGATAGGGATAGGAGGTAGGTATTGGAATTTTTTTAAACTTCTGGAGATTATATGTTGTGGGGAATACTTCCTCAGGCAATGAATTCCAGAGCCTAGCCGTTCTATGGATGAAGGAGTTTTGATAAAGTGCTGTTCTACATCTTTCGAGGTTGACAACGAAAGGATATGCTGACTGGGCTTGTCTAGTTCGTCTGACTGGTATTGCTAGTGAAAGGATGATAGCAGAGATTTCCGAAGCACATAAGGTTTGTTAATCTGTGGTAGTAAGTAGTAGTAGTCGAATTCGTTTGTTTGCTCTCAAGAGTGAAGATGATGATGATTATATTTATATTCCTCTTTCCCAATTTTGCAATCCTTGGAAATTTACCAAACGACAAGTTTTTTATATTACGGAAAAATATTATTCTTTGTCTCGTTTTTTGTTATTTTGAATTAAACTGAAGTTTGATTCTAGTGTTTACCAAAATAAAGATATTTTATATTTCTTGTTTTTTTTTGCATTCTAGCCTAGGAACAAAATCAAAATTTCCGATTAGTATATACAGGGTGTTTCTTAAGTACGTGTAGAATATTCAGGAGCAGGTTGCTGACGTTTAAATAAGAAGAAAAGTTCGTATAAACACATGTCCAAAAGTTATCCGTTTCTGAGATACAGAGTGTCAAAGTTGAATTCTTATTTCTATTCTTTGTTAATAAATTTCAGAATAATTGTGATATTGGAATGAAATTTGGTATCCAAGAGTATTTTTCAATGACAATATCGAATTTTATGTTAGTTTGTCTCTTTCGTTTCAATTATTTTGAAATTTATTGACAAAAAACAAAAATAAGTATTCAACTTTGACATTCTGTATAACAGAAACGAATAACTTTCAGACATATATTTATACAAACTTTCCTTCTTATTTTGGCGTCAGCAATATGCTCCTAAAATTTCTACACGTACTTAAGAAACACCCTGTATATCGGATGTATCGGGTGGCCACAAAAAAAACGGTAGATTTTCTTTTCCCCCTGGTTCATAATTTCTCAACAGAATTTAAATTTATTGACGTCATTTTGTAGCTAAAGGGCTAATGAGAGTATCTCAAACATTTGAATAAGAAAATTAGAATTTTTCCAACCTGTATCGACTTTATTTTAGGCCGATCATTTCTGAAGAGAATGAGCATTACCGAACATCCAAATCGAACAAATAGTCCAGGAGATACACTCACTTTCTCGCAGTTGTTATGCAGTGAATGTGCTGATGATCTTGTAATAACGACAATTATTATTTTGCCTCTGGCTTTATCAAATTTCAATCGATTTCGGGTTTTTCAAAGCCATTTCAAAGATATAAGCTGAACAACACATTGGAACATTTGAAAATTTCGTAATTGAAAAAAAAAACAATGGTGGATTATCTCAAACATTTGTGATTTACAAAAACCGCTGGCGAATGGAAAAATGTTGATTCTTTCAATCAGAATTGATGCAATTCTAGATCATTTATTACTAAAAAAAAATGAAAAAAATAGTCCAGGAGATACACGTGACTAAAAAGTGCGTATTACATCTACTGGTCTATTTGTTTGATTCAGATGTTCGAGTCCTCATTATTCGCCAGCGGTTTTTGAAAAATCACGGAAGTTTGGGTGACTCCACCTTTTTTTCTTTCAATTATGGACTTTTTGGACATTTCACTGTGTACTACAGCTTTTCAGCTTCAAAATGGCTTTGAGAAATCCATTCGACTGAATTCTGATACAGCCAGAAGCAAAATAAAAAGTAATTCTTATTACAAGAATGGCACATTCAGTCCATAACACATTGCCAAAAAGAACGTGTATCTCCTGGACTATTTGATTGATTTCAATGTTCCAGTACTCATTCTCTTCAGAAATGAATGGTCCGAAATAACATCAGTACAGGTTGGCAAAATTCTAATTTTCTTATTGGCCAGCGGTTTTTGTAAATTACAAATGTTTGAGAGACTCCACCATTTTCTTTTTTCTTCCATTTATGGAATTTTCAAATATTGCAGTGTATACTATAGCCCTTTAGCTACAAAATGACGTCAAGAAATTCAAATTCGGTTAGAAAATCATGAAACCATGAGGAAAATAAAAACTTCTGGGTTTTTGTGACCATTTGAGATAAAAGATATTTTGGTATTTATATTAATATCATAATATTTCCCAATTCTGACAATTAGAAACTTTTCACCAGTGAATTAATACTACACACAATTCCCAATGGAAATAGAAACGGAAAAATTAATCAATTTCTTAGATTTGACAATAAAAACCATCCCATACTGCTATCACCAATCACCATTCATAATAATTCAACATAATACCCTAATCATATGAAATTGCAGCATATGATATGATGATGAATGTCCCGCTTTCAGAAGTAAATTTCAATAAAGAACTCAATATCATAAAACAGATTGCAGTCAACAATGGATACATTAATTTGATAGACAATATTCTTTCAAAAAAACTCCATAATGAAGCAATTTAAGAAGTTTATCTTCCCATCAAAAACAATAACCAAAATTATAGAAGTTTAACCTATTTTGGATTATCAACTGAAAAATTAGCTTCATTTCTACATAAACAGAGGACTTGAAAGTAGCCTATAAAACAAATAATAGGTTGGGAAGGTTTATCAAAAAAGACAAAACTTCCAAAATCAAAAAATCAGGGGTATACAAACTTGACTGTGGGTCTTGTCCTGAGGTAAATATCAGTCAGATAGGTCAAACATTAAATCACTGCATTCATGAACATAGGATGAATTAAAAAAAAAACAATTCAACATACAGGAACCATAGATAGATAGATACATATTTATTCATACAAAATCACAAGAATTTTACTATCATCACAAATAAAATCAGTGCAAATACATTTGATTAAAATTACCTGAAAACTTACATAGACACAATAGGGAAAAACAGACAATTATCAAGTTTGCAATACAACTCACATGAACAGAAAGGGCATAAGCAAAAGGAACTCCTAAATTGTATTGAAACAATCTATATTAGAAGAAAACAATAGTTTTGATGATAAATTCGAAATTTTACAGGTAGAAAATAAAGGAATTAAACTCAATCATTTAAAATCATTAGAAATCAACAACCACAAAATCTAACATGTTACTCAAGGATCAACTAGACTTAATGATTTGCCACTGTTAAATTTGTTCTCTTAGTACATGATAATATTTATTTGCTATCAACCCTTTCAAGTTTATCCAATGCACCATATTTTAAGGTAGATATTGTGCCTACCATAGATTAAATGTGCCTACTGTTCTAAAATGAAGGTTCTTTGAACCTTATGTTAATCCTTTAGGTTGGTAAAGTAGGATATAAAAGTTAGGCATGTCAAAGTAAATCACACTTCAAGAATAAAGTAAAGTAAAGTACAGGCGGCCAATTCACCAAATATAAAAGAACAAAATTAAATCAATATCAATAAAAGTTGCATAATAATCATCAGATAATTAAACAAAAGAGTCTCTCATTTGATACCCTATAAAAAAGTAAACCAATAATAATAAGACATAAACTCAATTTTGCTTCCCATTAGGGTAGGGAACCACCACGCAAAGTCAGGCTAGGAAACACACATTAGACAAAAAGGTTTAAAAGTCGGAAGACTGAAACCAAGTAAGGGGTTTTATAAAACATATGCAGATTGCCAAATGCATAAGGTTGAAGTCCACTAGTTAGTGAGTGGGGGTGGATGGACATGGGGATGAGGAGCTATCATTGGTGAGCTAGTTATATGGCGGCACTTGATCCTGGGCATTCAACCTTTTGGGGGGCTTGGTAAATTTAGTTTATTGTACCAATTGTTCACCTGCAGAAGCTACTGTGACCGAGAATCTGGTGGAAATCTTATCATTTGTGAAGTTTTTTACATATCCATATATCTGTGTATGCAAGTTTGTTGTTGTACAGGGGCAATAAAAGTGAGATTGTTTTAAGGCAGAGAAAGTTCTTGATAAAAAATAATATAAACCCTGTTGATTAACTAGATATTTTTTTTTCAAATTCATACCATGATGTATAGCTACTACAGTATGAGGATAAAATAACAAATGACAGTTTTTTTTGGGGAAACTACTCACCTTCTTCATCATATTGGTCTAAATTGAATTCATCTGTTGTAGACTGTCCTTCCATAGACACATCTTCATTTTCAGTTGATGCAATCCTAAAAAAAAAGAATATATACATGTTATACATTTTTGAAACCATTTATCAAAGCAGAGATTATACACAGAGTATATTAAGCTCAAGCAGAGGATACACCTTGCATAACTTCAGAAGGAAGTAGGTACAGACTATAATGCAGTTAAAATATACAATTCTCTCCCACAAAAGTTGAAGAATAAATCAATATTTCACTTCAAAAAGTCCATATAATTATTTTTCTTTCCTTGAACAAAATTTATTTTAGAATAGATAATAATATAATAGTAGAACAGCTTTGAATCAAATATAGTGGACTTTTTTCAGATAAACACTTTTACCTACTGTGAAATCCAGATAAGTCTTAATATCTTGATAATACATAATATGATTATTGGAAATAACACTTTTAAGAGAGTTGCTTGAATACACTCCTATAGGCATATCTAGATATAAATTAAATAAATTTGAACAACTTACTGCAGTTTTCCTTTTGCATCTTTGATGATTTGTGCCACCTCACTTTTGGATAACTGGACCTGATAAAATACAAAATAAAAGTATTACATTTTGGAAAAACCTGAACCACATAATTAACTAATATTAATAGAGCTATATATTTATTATGATTTGGAAATCTGGAAAAAATAACTCATATTTTTATTTAAAATTTGCATAGCTTACAACTGGAGGTAGGTAAAATTCAATTTCTGACCAGAATGAAATTCTTGTATGAATATTTGACCATACTTTTTCTTTATCTATAATTTGATATATTACCTTGGTAGGATTTGGATTAGCTACTCCACGTTTTACCCAACGGATGCAAGGAATAAAATTTATATTACTCTGAGGATTCTCTTCCATGGTGATAAACAAAAACTTCAATGATTATAAATTTCCTCTAGTTCTAATAAGATATTATGTTTTTGAAACTTGAAATAAAAATTTCTTAACCTCTTTAACACACGTGTTTTGATAGTTTGACATGGAACATGTACGTTGACATATTTCTATCTCAACATGGTTTTGACTGAGATGTTTATAACTATGGTGTTTCCACTTGTCAATTGTTTTTCGTCAAAAAGTGTCGATGGATTATTGGCCATAGTTCAGAAATCACCTGTAGATGGCGTCGCGGCTATAAATTATTGTTCTACCAACCTTGCAAATTATCTGCAGTTCTGTGTGCCTGTTGTCAAGGTCGTTGATTGTCAAATTTATCGATTTGAATTTCGAATTCAAAATTAGTGTGGATTCATTCCGATTCCTAGTTATTCTGTCGTATTCTCTCTACAGTCTGCAGTTCTTTGAGTGTTTCCAGTGTTTTAGTCCTTAGTGTTCCTATCAGTGTTAATCCTTATTATTTTCGAGTTTTGTTG